ACCCAACAGTTTTTTGATTTTTCGTTTTCTCCACATCAAGGTTTTTCAATTTTTGATTTACCGATTTTTAAAGTTTTTTTCAACATTTCAATTTTGGAAAATTTTCATTTTGTGGATTTGCCAGTTTTTCGATATTTTATTTTTAAACTCTTTGATGTTTCAGATTCGATTTCTCAGTTTTGAAGTTTTCAAATTTTCAGTTTTTCAGTTTCTCGATTTTTCAGTTACTCGATTCTCCAATTTTCTGATTTTTCTTTCTTAAATTTTGGATTTTTCCATTTCTCGCTATTTCAGTTCTTCAATTTTTCAATTTTTCGAATTTTTAAGTTTTAGATTTTTCAATTTTTTGATGTTTCGATTACCCAACAGTTTTTTGATTTTTCGTTTTCTCCACATCTAGGTTTTTCAATTTTTGATTTCCCGATTTTTAAAGTGTTTTTCAACATTTCAATTTTGGAAAATTTTCATTTTCTGGATTTGCCAGTTTTTCGAGATTTTATTTTTAAACTCTTTGATGTTTCAGATTCGATTTCTCGGTTTTGAATTTTTCAAATTTTCAGTTTTTCAGTTCCTCGATTTTTCAGTTACTCGATTCTCCAATTTTCTGATTTTTCATTCTTAAATTTTGGATTTTTCGATTTCTCGCTATTTCAGTTCTTCAATTTTTCAATTTTTCGAATTTTTAAGTTTTAGATTTTTCAATTTTTTGATGTTCCGATTACCCAATTTTTCATTTGTTAATATTTCAGTTTTTTGATTTTTCGTTTTCTCGACATCTAGGTTTTTCAATTTTTCGATTTGCCGATTTTTAAAGTGTTTTTCAACATTTCAATTTTGGAAAATTTCCATTTTCTGGATTTGCCAGTTTTTCGATATTTTATTTTTAAATTCTTTTATGTTTCAGATTCGATTTCTCGGTTTTGAATTTTTCAAATTTTCAGTTTTTTAGTTCCTCGATTTTTCAGTTACTCGATTCTCCAATTTTCTGATTTTTCATTCTTAAATTTTGGATTTTTCGATTTCTCGCTACTTAGTTCTTCAATTTTTCAATTTTTCGAATTTTTAAGTTTTAGATTTTTCAATTTTTTGATGTTTCAATTACCAAATTTTTCATTTGTTAATATTTCACTTTTTTGATTTTTCGTTTTCTCGACATCTGGGTTTTTCGATTTCCCGATTTTTAAAGTGATTTTCAACATTTCAATTTTGGAAAATTTTCAGTTTCTGGATTTGCCAGTTTTTCGATATTTTATTTTTAAACTCTTTGATGTTTCAGATTCGATTTCTCGGTTTTGAATTTTTCAAATTTTCAGTTTTTCAGTTTCTCGATTTTTCAGTTACTCGATTCTCCAATTTTCTGATTTTTCATTCTTAAATTTTGGATTTTTCGATTTCTCCGTATTTCAGTGCTTCAATTTTTCAATTTTTCGAATTTTTAAGTTTTAGATTTTTCGATTTTTTGATGTTTCGATTACCCAACAGTTTTTTGATTTTTCGTTTTCTCGACATCTAGGTTTTCCAATTTTTCGATTTTCCGATTTTCAAAGTGTTTTTCAACATTTCAATTTTGGAAAATTTTCATTTTCTGGATTTGCCAGTTTTTCGATATTTTATTTTTAAACTTTGATGTTTCAGATTCGATTTCTCAGTTTTGAATTTTTCAAATTTTCAGTTTTTCAGTTTCTCGATTTTTCAGTTACTCGATTCTCCAATTTTCTGATTTTTCTTTCTTAAATTTTGGATTTTTCCATTTCTCGCTATTTCAGTTCTTCAATTTTTCAATTTTTCGAATTTTTAAGTTTTAGATTTTTCAATTTTTTGATGTTTCGATTACCCAACAGTTTTTTGATTTTTCGTTTTCTCCACATCTAGGTTTTTCAATTTTTGATTTCCCGATTTTTAAAGTGTTTTTCAACATTTCAATTTTGGAAAATTTTCATTTTCTGGATTTGCCAGTCTTTCGATATTTTATTTTTAAACTCTGATGTTTCAGATTCGATTTCTCGGTTTTGAATTTTTCAGATTTTCAGTTTTTCAGTTTCTCGATTTTTCAGTTACTCGATTCTCCAATTTTCTGATTTTTCATTCTTAAATTTTGGATTTTTCGACTTCTCGATTTTAAAGTGTTTTTCAACATTTCAGTTTTGGAAAATTTCCATTTTCTTGATTTGCCAGTTTTTCGATATTTTATTTTTAAACTCTTTGATGTTTCAGATTCGATTTCTCGGTTTTGAATTTTTCAAATTTTTAGTTTTTCAGTTTCTCGATTTTTCAGTTACTCGATTCTCCAATTTTCTGATTTTTCGTTCTTAAATTTTGGATTTTTCGTTTTCTCGCTATTTCAGTTCTTCAATTTTTCAATTTTTCGAATTTTTAAGTTTTAGATTTTTCAATTTTTTGATGTTTCGATTACCCAACAGTTTCAGTTTTTTGATTTTTCGTGTTCTCGACATCTAGGTTTTTCAATTTTTCGATTTCCCGATTTTTAAAGTGTTTTTCAATATTTCAATTTTGGAAAATTTTCATTTTCTGGATTTGCCAGTTTTTCGATATTTTATTTTTAAACTTTTTGATGTTTCAGATTCGATTTCTCGGTTTTGAATTTTTCAGATTTTCAGTTTTTCAGTTTCTCGATTTTTCAGTTACTCGATTCTCCAATTTTCTGATTTTTCATTCTTAAATTTTGGATTTTTCGACTTCTCGATTTTAAAGTGTTTTTCAACATTTCAGTTTTGGAAAATTTTCATTTTCTGGATTTGCCAGTTTTTCGATATTTTATTTTTAAACTCTTTGATGTTTCAGATTCAATTTCTCGGTTTTGAATTTTTCAAATTTTCAGTTTTTCAGTTTCTTCGATTTTTCAGTTACTCGATTCTCCAATTTTCTGATTTTTCATTCTTAAATTTTGGATTTTTCGATTTCTCGCTATTTCAGTTCTTCAATGTTTCAATTTTTCGAATTTTTAAGTTTTAGATTTTTCAATTCTTTGATGTTTCGATTACCCAATTTTTCATTTGTTAATATTTCAGTTTTTTGATTTTTCGTTTTCTCGACATCTAGGTTTTTAAATTTTTCGATTTCCCGATTTTTAAAGTGTTTTTCAACATTTCAATTTTGGAAAATTTTCATTTTCTGGATTTGCCAGTTTTTCGATATTTTATTTTTAAACTTTTTGATGTTTCAGATTCGATTTCTCGGTTTTCAATTTTTCAAATTTTCAGTTTTTCAGTTTCTCGATTTTTCAGTTACTCGATTCTCCAATTTTCTGATTTTTCATTCTTAAATATTGGATTTTTCGATTTTTCGCTATTTCAGTTCTTCAATTTTTCGAATTTTTAGGTTTTAGATTTTTCAATTTTTTGATGTTTCGATTACCCAATTTTTCATTTGTTAATATTTCAGTTTTTTGATTTTTCGTTTTCTCGACATCTAGGTTTTTCGATTTTTCGATTTCCCGATTTTTAAAGTGTTTTTCAACATTTCAATTTTGGAAAATTTTCATTTTCTGGATTTGCCAGTTTTTCGATGTTTTATTTTTAGACTCTGATGTTTCAGATTCGATTTCTCGGTTTTGAATTTTTCAAATTTTCAGTTTTTCAGTTACTGGATTCTCCAATTTTCTGATTTTTCGTTCTTAAATTTTGGATTTTTCGATTTCTCGCTATTTCAGTTCTTCAATTTTTCAATTTTTCGAATTTTTAAGTCTTAGATTTTTCAATTCTTTGGCGTCTCACTTTTAGGTTTTACGGGCTTTCAATTTTCCGATTTTTAGAATTTTTGACTTTTCGGCTCAATTTCTCAATTTTTCAGTTTTTAGATTTTTCGTTTTTTCTTTGTTTTTAAATTTTAGATTTTCGCATTTTTATGTTTTGACATTTTAATGTTTGGATTTCTCTATTTTTGAATTTTACGATGTTTTAATTTTTCAATGTTTAAAATTTTAGCTTTTTCGATTTTTCAGTTCTTATCATGCTTACAATGACTTTAAAATGTCTTTTAAGTAAATATTCAGTTTTGCAATTCTTGATTTAATCAATAAAATTAATTGACTCAGTCATTATTTTTTTTTCAGACACCCCGTATAAGCAAATCTAAAAAATATTAATGCAGTGTTAAATCACAAGTATAGACTCCGTATTCTTTACACATTTAAGATAGCATTTTTCAGCAAAATTTTGGGGTGACGTCATCAATTTTTTAGGGGGGATGAGCAAATACATTTTGATCAAATATTTATCAGGCTTATGATAAATTTAAAACATCTTCAAGATTTCAAAGCATTTGGTTTCCTAGTTTCTGATTTAATCAATAAAATACATTGACGCATTCATTAACTTTTTGAGTCACCCTGTACGTGCAAATCCAAAAATATGAATGGAAAGATAAATCACAAGAACAGACTCATCATATTTTGTATATTTTAGATAGGATTTATTCAGCAAACTTTTGAGGTGACGTCATCAATTTTTTGGAGGGGATAAGTAAATATATTGTGATTAAAATTGTATCATGCTTATCATAACTGTAAACCATCTGCAAGATTTCAAAGTATTCGGTTTTGTAGATTACAAATTAAAAGTCAAAATGTTTCCTAATTTTGATTTTTTTTTCCAAAAATCTGGACGTTTCGGGTAAAATCACAATTCGGAGTCATAAACTACAGGTGTAAGACTATGTTATTTGATACAATTTAAAACCCAATTACTATGCACAATTTTGAAGTGTCGTCATCACATTAGTGGTGGGGATGATTAGACGAATTTTGGTTAGCGTTTTACCATCTACATGATATACCTAATATAAATACAAAATTTGACAACAATCGGTCCAGTATTTTCGGAGATTATCTGTCCAATAAAAATCCGGGACTGCAGACAGACGGACAGACAGACGCCCGGGAAGTAAAAAATTAGTTACATAAAATTGAGAACATTTTAATTAAACACTTTGCATAACTACATATTAAAAATGGCACCGGCCACTAACCCGAAAAATTTTAGATATACCGGGAAGCCCATAACAGACGTGGTCAACATCGGCATCGGGGGCTCCGACTTGGGCCCCCTCATGGTGACCGAAGCCCTGCGCGCCTTCGGCCGCGGTCTCCGCATGCACTTCGTGTCCAACATCGACGGAACCCACTTGGCCGAAGTCTTGAACAAGCTGGACCCTGAAACCGTCCTGTTCATCATCGCATCCAAGACCTTCACCACCCAGGAGACCATCACCAACGCGACCTCCGCCAAACAGTGGTTCCTAAACTCCGCGAAAGACGTAAATCCCCAGTTCCAACAATTCGCACTTTTCATTCCGAATTTCAGCCCTCTGCAGTGGCCAAACACTTCGTCGCTTTGAGCACTAACGCCCCCAAGGTTCAAGAGTTCGGCATCGACACGGCGAACATGTTCGAGTTCTGGGACTGGGTAGGCGGTCGGTACTCGCTCTGGTCGGCCATCGGTCTGAGTATCTCGCTGGCCATAGGGTTCGAGAACTTCCTACAGTTGTTGGAAGGGGCCCAGTTTTTGGACAGGCACTTCAGGACGGCTCCGTTGGAACAGAACGTAAGTACGATTAGTTTAGCGAACGAGAAAATAAAACAATAAAAAAGTCTCAACGGCGTTTTCTTCCTCTGTCTAAAATGTGTCCTCTGCGCAACTCCATGAGGATGTCGGAGGTGTCGACGACGTTCTCGACGGACTCGGTGTCCAGGCTTTTGTACACGGCGAGTTTGGTTAAAGCGCTCTTTTCCAAACTGTCGGCGATTTCTGGGTGCGTGGCCACCACGTACCAGAAGTCGCGAGTATCCAAATAGAACACCTCGGTGATTTCGATTGCCATAACCGAGACTTGGTACGACTCGCCGTACCCTTGTAGAACCACTTGAACCTCGCCGAAGTGGTGACCGTCTTCGAGGTGGTACGCTTCTTTACCGTTGGCTAGATACACCGACACGGTACCGAAGGAAATGAAGTAAACGTGCTCGTTGATGGCGTCGGGTTTGATGATGTGGTCATTCGGTAGGAAGATTTCGTGTTTGAGCATTGCTACCAGAGCACCAATGACTTCTTTAGGCGCTCCTTGGAACAACTTGACTTTGTTGATGAGGTTCTTGCAGCTGTAGAGTAGTACTTCGTACCGCAGATGCTCCGACAACGAGTTGAGGATGAGGTTCTCCAAAAAGAACTGCTTCTGGAAACGGTACTCATAGTACATGAGTAAGCGTTTGCGTAAACCTTGCGGGAGTTTCTTAGTCACCATGTACTCGTTGAGCTGGTAAATCAGTTCCTCGTATTTGGTTTCTGACACGTTGATGGTACCGAAAAGCTGAAGGATTATAGCGATGACGTAGATGTGGCAGGTGATGCCGCACATGAGGATTAGTGCTAAGATCAACTGCTCGATCGGGTTTTCCGTGAGGATGTTGCCTTTCCCGGCGCCGAAGAAATGGCAAACCGTGCATAACAGACACTCGATGTAGATGTTTTCGATTTTGCGTTGTGTCCCCAACGTGCTGCGCAACACCCAGGAGTTGTCGAAAGGGTACCCGATGAAGTACCCGATCGCCGGGATGAGATACAGAGTGCACGTCCACCAATGGATGACTATAGCAATCACCAAAGCGATAGTACTACACTTCACCAAAGACTCCTTCAACTTGAACGTAACCAGCATATTGCTGAAGTACACCGACACGGTGTACAGTCTCACGAACCTCAAAATATACACCTGCGGGATCGACAACCACACGTGGACGAAAGTCGGCAGCGCCAGCACCTCCTTCATCCCGGCATACTCAACCATAAACAGAAGAATCCCGAAAACCGCCGGGATCAAATCGTGGAAGAAGTACGTGTTGAAGTACTGCTTCGCGATTCTCTTCGGCTCCAGCACGATCTCTTTGGTGCGACTCACGGTGTACCCGATGAAGAAGTGCAGCGCTATGTCCAGAAGGAAGACGCAATTGAGGATGAGGATGATGACGCTGGCCGTGGGGTAGTCGACGTTGGCGTGGATGTAGCCGGTGTAGAGCGCGGAGAAGAGCGGGTCGAGGAAGAAGATGACGATCCAGAGCACGCACACGATCATCTCGTGGATCAAGGCGAAGCGGCTGAGGGGGTGGATGATCATGCGGTACTTCTTGTTGCGCAGGTGGCGGCGGCGCTCCTTGAACAGCGCGAAGTTGCTGCGGAAGTAGGTGTTGCAGTTGGGGTTCCAGTGGCTGGCGATGCTCCATCTCTGGAAGTTGTAGAGGAACTTCCGGTGGGAGGAGGCGAACGGGGCGACGCCGGGGAGCTCGCGCTTTAGCTCGAGGGGGTCGAGTTTGCAGTAGTGGCGGGTGACGAAGCTGATTTTTCCGCCATGTTTGTGGGGACGGTGCATTTTGGCGTGACAGGGCGCGACTGACGGCAGGCGAAGGCGACGCGATTTAAAATCTGGATTTGAATTTTCAGGCGCCGGTTATTTTGGCTCTTGTGGGGATTTGGTACCACAATTTCTACGGTGCGGAGACGCACGCGCTGCTCCCGTATGACCAGTACCTGCACCGCTTCGCCGCCTACTTCCAACAAGGAGATATGGAGAGCAACGGCAAATACGTGACCCGAGCCGGGAAGACCGTGGGTGCGGATTTCGTAGTTCAGCGACCGTAGTAATCCGGGAATTTGCAGGTGGACTACACCACAGGTCCTATAGTTTGGGGCGAACCCGGGACCAACGGCCAGCACGCCTTCTACCAATTAATTCATCAAGGAACGCGGCTCATCCCTTGCGACTTCATAGCTCCCGCCCAGACCCACAACCCCATCAATAATGGAGTCCATCATAAAATATTACTGGCTAATTTCTTGGCGCAGACTGAAGCGCTTATGACTGGAAAGACCGCCGAGCAGGCGAAGGCGGAGTTGGAGAAGCAGGGTCTGCAAGGAGAGGCTTTGGAGAAGATCCTGCCGCATAAGGTGTTCATTTTTAATGGGGGTTAGTGTACAAGTATTAACAGGTCTTTGGTTTCAGGTATTTGAAGGGAACCGCCCGACGAATAGCATCGTGGTCAAAAAGGTGACCCCGTTTACCTTGGGAGTTCTGATTGGTGAGAACGCCATTTTATCAATTTTGTTAATAATGTGTGTCTTTTAGCGTTGTATGAACACAAGATTTTCACTCAGGGGGTGATTTGGAACATAAATTCGTTTGACCAATGGGGAGTGGAGCTGGGTAAACAACTGGCGAAAGCTATAGAGCCAGAATTGCAAAATAACACACCCGTTTCATCCCATGACTCTTCGACCAACGGACTTATTAATTTTATCAAAGCCAATATGTAGGGGGCGACTTGTCCTTGAATACTGACATAGGTGCTAGGGAAATGAATGTATACTGTATATGTTTTTATTAAAAAGCGGCGAAAACTAAATGTTCAGTTTATTGGAAAACCCTATGACCAATTTTGAGGAAAAGTCTTAATTCGTTTGACCAATGAGGGTAGAGGTGCCTAAACCTAGAGCCAGAGTTACAAGATAGCATATCAGTTTCATCCACCAGTCACAATGTAGCAATGAATGTACACTGTAAGTCTGTTTTTATTAATAAATTGTGAAAACTGAGTGTCTTATTTTAATCAAACCTAAATGACCAATGAGAAAAATTCTAGTCAAAGCGACTGATGGAAATTTCCTGCAATGATCAAATGTCGATTGAAGATTATAACACAGTGTAGAGTTTATTACGTTGTTTACATAACCCAACTTCCAAAATCTAGTTTTGCGAATTTGTTAATCACCGCGTAACTTTTGGTGGCTTTGACGATATATTTTTAAAACAGCTTTACATAGCGAGTGCTCTTACCGTTATCTACTTGTTGACTTTGTTCTTGTTGACACGTTTTGCGTAAAATAATAACCTGTTGACACGCAGGTGATTTATCGCCTTAAGTAACCGTCTCATCCTTACTCTCGGCATTTACTGTTGTGATAGTGGAAGGTAAGAACTAATTTCATGTTATAATTAGAGCTTAACACAAATATATTTCCGATTCGTGAACACGGTTTACTACTTGGACAGAAAACTGTAAACACTTGCGCGAATTTGCTTAAAGATGGTGCCGACGGTACTAAGTCGGCTTAAGTTCAGACTGGCGGCACGTGATTGTTTAAAAACCGATTCTTGTTTTAATTCGTGTTAATTGGGGGCACTCGCTTACAGATCATGAGTGAAAACGGCGAAAAATTTAAATTTGCGATCGATCGAGGCGGTACTTTTACCGACGTGTTCGCAAAATGTCCTGGAGGAAAAATCCGAGTTCTGAAGCTGTTGTCTGAAGACCCTCAGCACTACAATGACGCGCCTACTGAAGGGATCAGGCGAATCTTGCAAGAGGTAAGTGCTTGAACAAACACTTTTTTTTATTTGATTAGTACTTAACACTGCACGCGTCACACTGTTATAGTTATATTAAACCATTGTTTAAGTATATTATAGTTGGACAACCTATACGGACAATCACTTTCCCATGTAGAAAAGAATGAATATATATTTTACATCTCACTCGCTTCACTATGAAGTGGCGGTACCTTACGAAAGGGGGTAAAAATAGTCCGTAAGCACGGGGAGCAGTCACAAAATAAGCAAACGTACGTGTTGAAGACTTTACTGTAATATGTATACGTATATGTAGTGCATACCTGTTTCAAGGTTAAGGTAACAAAAATTTAATATTATCGCGGTATACCTATTATCCATGAACTGCATGGCTAACAAATATGCGTCCCTTCGTCCACTTTAAAGGTATACGAAATTAAACGACCACTACTTTAATTAATAAGTAACAAGTCATCTAATTTGCCTCCAGAATAACTATGGATTATCATCAAACTATGAACACCAAATTAATTCAATATGAACATCTTGTTACGTATTTTTTTTATTAACAGTAGTCAAATCATTAAATACATATTATTTTTGAAACTAAAATGCATTTTATCCTAAGACTGTATCACAAAATATTCATCACCATTTGAATATATACGATTTAGACATCAAGAAATAAATTTAAAATTGCAAAAATTATACTAAAACAGCCTTAAATGTGTCTTGTATGTACGTGCTTATCAGTATGTAGGCATTTTAACGCACAGCAATAATCGTTCTTGATGAGTAATGACTGATGACTACTGTAACACAGTAAATCCTCGAAATCGAAAATTTAAAACACTGAAAAATTCAAATATGGGAAAATAGTAAAATCGAGAAATCGAAACATAAAAAAATCAAAAAAATTAAAATTGGAAAATCTAAAAATTAAAAACCGAGAAATTGAACAATCGGTTAATTCAAAAATCGAAACATCGAAAAATTGGAAAATCGAAAAATAAAAAAAAATTGGACAATCGAAAATTTAAAAATTCCGAAAATTGAAATATAGAGAACTGAAAACTCAAAAAATCGAAAAAAATTAATAATTTCAAAAATCGAAAAGTTAAAATTGAGAAATCGAAAAACTGAAAAATCACAAAATTGAACGAAATATCAAAAAATTAGAAAATTAAAAAATTGAGAAACAAAAAAGTCAAAAAAGCAGAGTCTAAAAATCGCAAACTTAAAAAATCGAAAAATTGAAAAATCAAAAACCTGAATAATCGAAAAATTGAAGAACTGAAGAACTGAAAATTCGAAACTTTAGGAAGTGGAGAAATGGTAATATAAAAAAATAGATTAATTGAGAAATCCGAAAACTAAAAATTCAGAAACGTCAAAATTTGAAAAATAAAAAAATAGTGAAGAACTAAAAAATCGAAAAATTTAAAATTTAAAACACTGAAAAGTTAAAATATCCTAAAACTGAAAAATGGAGAAATCCAAACATCAAAAAAACAAAAATAAAAATAAAATTAAAAATCTAAAATTTAATAATCGAAAAACTGAAAAATCAACGAATCGAGAAGTCGAGAATTTAAAAATTGGACAATTGAAAAATCGGATAAATCAAAAATCGAAACATCCAAAAATCAAGAAACCGAAAAGCAAAAAATCGAAAAACCAACAAATCGAAAAATCGAAACATTGTAAAATTCAAAAATTGAGACATCGAGAAATCGAAAAATCAAAAAATTGAGAAACCGAAGTAGGCCAAAATCGAAAAATCGAAAACTTAAATATGGAAAAATTGATAAAGCGAGATTGAATAATCAAAACATCGAAACATCCGAATCTCAATGAATTGAGATCTCAAAAAATTTAAACATTCGTAAATTTAAAAAATTAAAATATAGAACTGGAAACTCGAGAAACTGAAAAATCTAGAAATTTAAAAATTAAAATATGAAAAAGTTGAAAAATTGGGAAATTGAAATAAAAAACAAAAAACTGAAAACCAAAACTAAAAAATAGAAAAATCTAGAAGTCGAAAAATGAAAGAATCGAAGTATTGAAAAATATCAAAACTGAAAGAAATATCCAAAAATTGAGAAATCGACAAACCAATAAAGCGAAGTCGAAAAATCGAAGAATTGAAGAACTGAAAAATCGAAACTTTGAGAAGTGGGAAAATCAAAAATAGATTAATTGAGAAATCAGAAAACTGAAAATTTAACGCAAAAATTTAAAAAATTCAAAAATTTAAATACTGAAGAACTGAAAAGTCAAAAAATCGAGAAATCGAAAAAACTAAAATTAATTAAAATATCGCAAAATTGAAGAATCGAGAGATCCAATTCAATTTGAAAAATTGAAAAATCGGGGCATTGAAAAATTGGAAAATCCAGAAATTGAAAAGCTCAAAAGAAAAAAATCGAAAAACCGAGAAATCCAAAAATCGAAACATCGAAAAATTCAAAAACTGAGACTTCGAGAAATCGAAAAATCGGAGGATCGAGAAATTGAGGAGTCGGAAGCCGAAAAGGAAAGTTAAAAATTGAAAAATTGAGAAATTGAACAATCAAAACAACGAAACATCTGAATTCGATAAATTAAGAAATTAAAAATTTGAATAATCGAAAAATTTTAAAAAAGAAAAACTGGAAAATCAAAAATTAAAATTCAAAAAATCGAAAAATGAAAAATTGAAATATAGAAGAACTGAAAACTCGAGATATCGAAAAACCTAGAATTTTAAAAAATGAAATATTAAAACATCGAAAAGTTTAAAAATTGAGAAATCGAAGCATTAAACAGTCCCAGAATTGAAAAATCTAAAGTTTACAATAAATTGAAAATCCAAAAAGGAAAAAGCGAGAAATCAAAAAAAAATCCATCAATTCAAAAATCGAAAAGTCGAAAAATTGAAATATTGAAAAATTTCATAACTGAAAGAAATATTCAAAAAATTGAGAAATTAAAAAATTGGAAAATTGAGAAATCGAAAATCTAAAAAAGCAAAATTGAAAAATCGTAATCTTAAAAAATCGAAAAATTGAGGAATTGAAGATATGGAAAATCGAAACTTTAGGAAATCCAGAAATGGACAAATAAAAAAAATACTTTAGAAATCGGCAAATTGAAAATTTGAAAAATTGAAAAATCGAAATATTTAAAAACCGTAAAATTGAAGAGGACAAAAATTGAGAAATCGTATCATTGAAACATCGTAAGATTGAGAAATCGAAAAATAAAAAAATCGAGAAATAGAAAATTTAAGGAATGGAGGAATCGGAAAAGCCCAAAATTGAAATATTGAAAAATTGAGACATTTAAAGTTGAAAAATCGAGAAATCGACAAGCCGAAAAATCCCAATAGTGTATTTAGGTATAAATCACAAGATCAGGACTATTCTACTTTTTAAAATTTAAATACATAACATTATAAATTGGAAAATGTTGATTTTTTTTTTCCAAAAATCTTGACGTCTAAGGTGAAAACTCGACACGGATGCATAAACCGTAGGGGCCCAATACACCCAATAAAATGGAACAGACAAAATAAAGCTTCAAACATAATTATTTTTATACTAAAATTCTGAAGTTTATAAACTGCACATTTTATTTATTTATTTATTTATTTTATCTTGTTTTCGAACTATAATAAACATTTCAAACAATGTCTGTAACTTATTTTAATGTAAATTATATTCATGTGGTTAACAAATCAGATGTAATATTAGTGTGATTTTGACCTTATTCTAGATTTTATTACAGCAGAACGGCGTATCCTTTTTAAATTTTAGAAGTTACGGAAACTAGTTCAAGAAACAATTAGTTATCTCGTATTTTTGGAACAAAATCTACCAAAATTTCCGATAACAGCAATTGTTTTTCATAGAAACAAACAGTCTTCAAAGCAGCCTTTAACAACTCGATACTACAAACATGCCTCTTAAGTTCTTAATGCGTTTTTTTCTCTCTTGTAATTATTTGTAATGTTAACACCGAAAGTTTATGTCATTCTGTTATTTACTTTGAACATATATTTTCATTTTGTGTTAATATTTTTGTAACACCACGAATCTAAATTTTACTTAAAATCTTGTTTTACTTTAATCTTGTAAAACTAAACAATTATACCAGTTTAAAAACCCTTGGAAAGTTTCTGTCAGTCTTCAGATATAGTCAAATAAAAAAAAGCGTCAAATTCATTTAAATTCAATTCTTTCTTATCACGTTACAACGCGTTGCTTCATATTTTTTATGTCAAGTATATTTTCATATTTTGTACATATATGTTTATACACATTACTGTTTACGGAACAATGTTAATTATGGATTTATGGATAACTCCTCGTATAAGAGCAGAGTAAAGGGTGTTTGCCTTTGCTAATGTTTGATGGCGCCATCTGATTTAGAGTAAAATAAACCTAATACGTTGGCTTACTGTAGTGAAAATGCGCGTTGACGAAAAATTTGTCCCACGCCCCCTGGATTCCTTGTCCTAAAGCTCACTATTTAGGCGAAGTAAAATTTGTATTAGGTTGTCCAACTATAATATACTTAAACAATGATAGTAGGTACAAAGTTGATTGTTATGGGTAATAAAAGGTTTACGATGATTTGCGTTTTGTTGTGGTGGTAAAAGATGGGCCAGCGGCGATGGTTTTACTTTCTTCGCGGGGTCATTTGAAGGGGTAGAGAGTTAATTCGGTGACTAATTCTAAGTCTTCACCACGGTTTCGACATGGTAGAGTTGATTTGATTCATTTTGTGAAAAGTGAATATAATGATACAAGCGTGAGAAGATTGTCGTTATTGTGTGTAGTTAATTATGTCTGGGCTAATTATCAGTCCGACGTAATAGGAATAGGCTGAAATTTTAAATTTGATATGGCGTAATCCCCCAAAAGTAGTTCAAAATTTCTGGTGAATCAACTTGTATGACATTTAAATATCTTCTACATAATTTGGATATCCGAGTAAATAAAAGTTTGATATTATTTTCTCCTTACTAGAGATTCAATTTACAGTATTGCACACTATAATACCATAGATTAATATAGATGCGACATACAGGCTGATTTTGCAAAACCTCCCTTGAACAACTGAGAAACCGAAATAGGCCAAAATCGAAAATTCGAAAAGTTAAAAATTGAACAATTTATAAATTGAGAAATTGACAATCAAAATATCGAAAAATCCAAATCTCGATAAATCGAGAAATCAAAAAACTTAAAAATTCGAAAAATTGAAAAATTGAGAGATCAAAAGAACGAGAAATCGAAAAGTGATGAAATCGAAAAATCGAAAAATAGAAAAATCGACAAACAAAAAGTTAAAAGTTGAAAAATTGAAAAAGCGAAAAATCAAAAAACGAAAAAATGGAAAATTGGAAAAACTGAGAAACCAAAATAGACCAAGATGGAAAATTGAAAAACTGATAAATCGAAAACCTCAACAATCAAATCTCGATACAACGGGAATGAAAAATTAACAAATCGAAAAATTGAAAAACAGAACATCTAAAACCAGGAAGTCGAAAAATCGAAAGATTAAGAAATATTGAGAAATTAAAATATCAAAACACTGAAAAATCTAAAATTTAAAAATCCAAAAATTGAAAAATCAAAAAATTAAAGAATTGAACAACAGGAAAATCGAAACATCGATTGATTGAAAAATCGAAAAATTGAGAGTTTATGAAAGTCAAATTTGAAAAATTAAAAAATCGAAAATTTGACAATATGACAATTGATAAACAGAAAATCTAAAACCGGGAAGTCGAAAAATCAAAAGATTAGAAATCGAAACATTTGAAAAATTCGAAAACTTGAAAAATTCAAATATCGAAGAACTGAACTGAAAAATCGAGAAATCGAAAAATCGAAAATTTTAAAAATTAAAAAATCTAAAAATTGAAAAATGTAGACGCATCGAAAAATCCAGAAGACAAAAATAGAAGAGCCGAAGTATTGAAATATTGAAAAATCCTAAAAATGAAATATCTAAAAACTGAAAAATCAAAAAATCAAAAAAGTGAAGTCGAAAAATAGAAACCTTAAAAAGTCGAAAAATTGAAAATTTAAAAAATTAAAGAATTGAACAACAGGAAAATCGAAACATCGATTGATTGAAAAATCTAAAAATTGAGAGTTTATGAAAGTCAAATTTGAAAAATTAAAAAATCGAAAATTTGACAAAATGACAATTGAAAACAGAAAATCTAAAACCGGGAAGTCGAAAAATCAAAAGATTAAGATATCGAAACATTTGAAAAATTCGAAAACTTGAAAAAATCAAATATCGAAGAACTGAACTGAAAAATCGAGAAATCGAAAAATCGAAAATTTTAAAAATTAAAAAATCTAAAAATTGAAAAATGTAGACGCATCGAAAAATCCAGAAGACAAAAATAGAAGAGCCGAAGTATTGAAATATTGAAAAATCCTAAAAATGAAATATCTAAAAACTGAAAAATCAAAAAATCAAAAAAGTGAAGTCGAAAAATAGAAACCTTAAAAAATCAAAAAATTGAAAATTCAAAAAATTAAAGAATTGAACAACAGGAAAATCGAAACATCGATTGATTGAAAAATCGAAAAATTGAGAGTTTATGAAAGTCAAATTTGAAAAATTATAAAAAAGGAAATTTGACAAAATGACAATTGAAATACAGGAAGTCTAAAACCGGCAAGTCGAAAATCAAAAGATTAAGAAATCGAAACATTTGAAAAATTCGAAAACTTGAAAAAATCAAATATCGAAGAACGGAACTGAAAGATCGAGCAATCGAAAAATCTAACATTTTAAAAATTAAAAAATCTAAAATTTAAAAATCTAAAAATTGAAAAAGGTAGACACATCGAAAAATCCAGAAGTCAAAAATAGAAGAGCCGAAGAATTGAAATATTGAAAAATCCTAAAACTGAAATATCTAAAAACTGAAAAATCGAAAAATCAAAAAAGTGAAGTCGAAAAATAGAAACCTTAAAAAGTCGAAAAATTGAAAATTTAAAAAATTAAAGAATTGAACAACAGGAAAATCGAAACATCGATTGATTGAAAAATCTAAAAATTGAGAGTTTATGAAAGTCAAATTTGAAAAATTAAAAAATCGAAAATTTGACAAAATGACAATTGAAAACAGAAAATCTAAAACCGGGAAGTCGAAAAATCAAAAGATTAAGATATCGAAACATTTGAAAAATTCGAAAACTTGAAAAATTCAAATATCGAAGAACTGAACTGAAAAATCTAGAAATCGAAAAATCTAAAATTTTAAAAATAATAAACCTAAAATTTAAAAATCTAAAAATTGAAAAAGTAGACACATCGAAAAATCCAGAAGTCAAAAATAGAAGAGGCGAAGAATTGAAATATTGAAAAATCTTAAAACTGGAAAAATCGAAAACTCAAAAAAGTGAAGTCGAAAAATAGAAACTTTAAAAAATCAAAAAATTGAAAAATCAAAAAATTAAAGAATCGAACAACAGGAAAATCGAAACATCGATTGATTGAAAAATCGAAAAATTGAGAGTTTATGAAAGTAAAATTTGAAAAATTAAAAAATCGAAAATTTGACAAAATGGCAATTGAAAAACAGAAAATCTAAAACCGGGAAGTCGAAAAATCAAAAGATTAAGAAATCGAAACATTTGAAAAATTCGAAAATTTGAAAAATTCAAATATCGAAGAACTAAACTGAAAAATCGAGAAATCGAAAAATCTAAAATTTTAAAAATTAATAAATCTAAAATTTAAAAATCTAAAAATTGAAAAAGGTAGACACATCGAAAAATCCAGAAGTCAAAAATAGAAGAGCCGAAGAATTGAAATATTGAAAAATCCTAAAAATCAAATATCTAAAAACTGAAAAATCAAAAAATCAAAAAAATGAAGTCGAAAAATAGAAACCTTAAAAAATCGAAAAATTGAAAAATCAAAAAATTAAAGAATTGAACAACAGGAAAATCGAAACATCGATTGATTGAAAAATCGAAAAATTGTGAGTTTATGAAAGTCAAATTTGAAATATTAAAAAATCGAAAATTTGACAAAATGACAATTGAAAAACAGGAAATCTAAAACCGGGAAGTTGAAAAATCAAAAGATTAAGAAATCGAAACATTTGAAAAATTCGAAAACTTGAAAAAAATCAAATATCGAAGAACTGAACCGAAAAATCGAGAAATCGAAAAATCTAAAATTTTAAAAATTAAAAAATCTAAAATTTAAAAATCGAAAAATTGAAAAATCGCATAAGTAAAATAATCGACAAATCGAAAAATCCAGGAGTCAAAAATCGAAAAGTCGAAGAATCGAAATATTGAAAAATCCCAAAACTGAGATATCGAAAAACTGAAAAATGAAAGAAAAACTGAGAATCTAATAACCTGAAAAATCCGAAAACTGAAATATCCAAAAACTGAGAACCTAAAAAGTCGATAAATTGAGCAATCGAAAAATCCAAAAAGTGAAGTCGAAAAATCGAAACTTTAAAAAACTAAAAAATGAAAAATCGAAAAATTAAAGAATCGAAGAACAGGAATATCGAAACCCTCGAAAGTCAAGAAATGGGAAAATCAAAACATCGATTAATTCTAAAATCGAAAAATTGACAGTTAATAAATGCCAAATTTGAAAAATTGAAAAATCGAAAATTTGAAAAAACGACAACTGAAAAACAGAAAATCTAAAACCGGGAAGTCGAAAAATCGATAGACTAAGAAATCAAAACATTTGAAAAATTCGAAAACATGAAAAACGGAAATATCGAAGAACTGAAATGAAAAATCGAAAAATCGAAAAATCCAAAATTTTAAATATTGAAAAATTAAAATATCCAAAAACTGAATAATCTAAAATTGAAAAAACGACAATTGAAAAACAGAAAATCTAAAACCAGGAAGTCGAAAAATCGAAACATTTGAAAAATTGAAATATGGAAGAGCTGAAATGAAAAATCGAAAAATCTAAAATTTAAAAATCGAAAAAGTACAAGTCGACACATCGAAAAATCCAGAAGTCAAAAATGAAAAATGGAAAAGTCGAAGAACAGAAATATACTTAAACAATGATTAAACTCAACTAACTGACTGTGGGTAGTTAAAATTGCAAACGTGTTGATTTATGGAGATTGTTCAAAAGTCATCACACTATCTTACCAAAACAAAACCTATTTACTGTCATTTCGACGAAACTTTCGTTTTCGTGAAAATGCGCGTGCGATGGAATTCCTACGGGATCACCCTCCTCCGCGAGACCGACATCAAGCGAAAAATAGAACTCACCCAGATCAGGCGCCAGATCGAGATTTTGTCAACTTTCATGCCCGACGAAATCCTGAACATGCCTTTGAACGAACTAACCGAAACCCACAACTACGTGGGGGTGCTTTTGTTTGCCGACGTTTCTGGGTTCACTCCGCTTTGTGAAAAATACAACAAAACGGGAAAGGGAGGGATTTACCGACTCACGGCGACCCTGAACGCGTACATTGGAGCTCTAGTGGAAGTCATCACGTTCTACGGTGGCGATATCTTGAAGTTCTCGGGAGACGCGTTTTTGGCTTTGTGGAAGGCACCCCCTAATCTGCGGCTCTTCGAAGTCATCCATCGGGTTATAGTTTGCGCTTTGTTCATCCAGCACACTTTGGGGTGCTTCGATACCGAAGTGAACGTGTTGTTGAAGGTGAAGCTGGCGATAGCCTGCGGGAACTTGACGTTTGCGGTGATCGGGAACGAGAATTATAGGCACTACGTGATCGTGGGACAGGCTATCAACGACGTGAAGTCCGCGGAAAGGATAAGCGTGTCTGGAGATGTGGTGATTGCGCCGAGCGCGTGGGGGCATCTAGCTGAAGATAATTACGAGGTGACGTTCGGGCCTGAAGGACACGTCAAGGTAAAACGTCTAAAGTTGTGTCTAGTAGTGAAGGCGCGGTTCCAGGTTTGGAATTGTATCTACTTCCCGAATCAGAGTGCTTGGAAGGAATACTACGCTGAGAAAAGTCCGGTGGCGCATTCTCTCTGCGTTAAACACCTAGAGCACAGAAACCAACTCCACGAGAAGCGACGAATCGACGATGCCACTACCGATAGTAAAATTACTGAAGCTTTTGTGGCTTCTCTTCCGCAGAGGACGAGTGTTACACAGGCTTCCACTCGTTGGATTCCCAACGACTTGAACCCTTTCATCGTACGACCGGTTCAAAGTCAAGTGGAAGAGAAGCAACCCATCGAGTACCTCACCGAGATGCGACAAGTCACCATCCAGTTCATCAACATAGTCCCTACTACCTCTCAAGAATCTAAATTGATCCCCATGGTCAACAAAGCGTTTCAAACTGTCTGCAAAATCGTATCGAAAATGCGCGGAGTCGTCAACAAAGTCTCCCTTTTCGACAAAGACTGCATGATTCTCGTACTCTTCGGTCTAAGAGGAATCGAACACGAAGTCGAAAGTCAGAACGCCCTAAAGTCGGCGTTTGCTATCCGCAAATCTATCAAGAAACTCACCACTGTCAAATCCATCTCCATCGGTGTGACTAATGGCTGGGTGTACTGTGGCGTCGTGGGACACCCTTTTCGCAGAGAGTATACAGTAATAGGAGGATCGGTGAATAAAGCCGCTCGTATCATGTGCGCTTACGAAGGCAAGGTTACTTGTGACCACGAAACTTACAAAGGCTGCAAATTGTCGTCTCTGTATTTTCAACTTCAGTCGGCTTTGACGCTTAAAGGGATATCGGCTGCTGGCCACATCTTCGAGTACAACGAAGACTTTGATAAAATGGAGTACAAACAAGATCAGTCTCTGCCTCTAATCGGTCGCAGTATGGAACTGGCAGTTGCCGATTTGATTCTCAACAAACCAGAAACGGCAGGTTGGTCGAGTATTTGCTTCAAAGGCGAGTCGAAAGTCGGGAAGACGAAGCTACTACAAGCCATTAACAACAATCAAGTGAAACAATTTCGATATGTTTGTTCCTTAGCATTGAACGAAGCTCTGCAGAGGCCGTATTACACCGTTTCTACTATTTATCAACAGTTGTATGACATTAATAGCACGCGTCGTCCCCAACGACTGTACGACTTACCTCGACATTTGTGGGACTTCACCGAACTGCTCCAAACGAGTAAATCGAATTTGTCGATTGGTCCGGTCTTGAGCAACAGCAGCAAGGAGAACGTTCACCAGAATTTTATGACAATGCTAGGGAAAGATAAAGTACTGGTCTTTATAGACAATGTGCAGTTTATGGACGGTAAAAGTTTTGAAATTATCGAAGAAGCTGTGTCGAACAAAAACATACAATTGGTGTGCGCCGGTTGTTTCGAAGACACCAATACTTGGAATACTATGTGGAAGTTCAATCTAAGCAAGCACATTAAAGTTTTTAGTCTTAGTCCTTTACCACCCAGCGAAACGGGCTATCTCATCTGCACCTTCTTGAACGTCAAAGGCACATCCAAGAAGTTGATCGTTCTGATCAATAAAACCTGTGAAGGTCGCCCCGGTTGGGTTCAAGCATGCCTACTTAAAATGATCAACAACGGAGAACTAGAAGTCAAATACGCTTTGACGAGTGAGACCGAATATGTATTTTTGCAAGAATCGGAAGGAAAAGGCATAGTCATAGTAGCCGGATTTTCGAAAAAATACTTGGAACGTAGTGAAGAAACATCGACTGCGGTTACTCTAGATCTGTTCGATTCTTTCTCGCCCTACCAGCAACTTATTATTAAAACGGCTGCAGTCGTGGGTGAAATTATCACAAGAACCGCGTTGATAGTATTACTCAAGTATCCCAACGAGGGTATGTTAGCGGCTGCCATCAAAACTCTTTTCGAAGAAGAAGTTTTTGATTGTGCGTCGAGGTACGTCAATTCTGGCGGTCTCCAAGAAAAAAAGAACGTCTGCTTGTGCTACATGGAAGACGACGAGATCAACCCGGAGCTGGAAATGCCAAGATACGCCTTCTGTAAAGTGTTGCACTTCAAAAGCCGCAATATCAAGCTGCTGGCGTACGAGTTGTTGCCTATGAATCAAAAGAAGGAGCTGCACTTGAGGATCACGGACTTACTGGAGAGTCAAAATAACTCCTGTCCTTCTTGCTTGCGGGACAATTCGGCGGCGATAATCTCAGTCAGACGATTCAAAGATTTTCTTCAATCTTGTCACGAGCAGACTTACATTTGGACCGAGAGATACAACGAGAAGTACCGTTCTATCGAAGAGTACAAACAACTAATACGCACCTACATTCACAATCCTCCACTTGATGATTCATCGGACGACCATAAGAGCTATACGGGTTTCGATGTCCCGAAGAGGCGGATTTGGGATCCCACGACCTGTTTCTGTCTGGAAATTTTGATGAAAGTTTATCGGGATTTAATCCATCACAGTCAGTGCGGGCAGCACCTAGGGAAAAAGATCTTCTTCATGCTGGAGTATTCTACAATTTTGTACTTGATGGGAGAGTTTGAGGAAGTGATACCCATTTTGCACGAAGCTAGCGAAGTCTGCATGGTACAGACGAGCAAAGCGTATATTTTTACTGACAATTTTAAGATGTTGATGATGGGGAAGATTCATTGCATGCTGGGTGAGACTTACTTGAAGTTGGGAAACACCGTAGCTGCTAAGAATCATGCTCTTCTGAGTCTGCGCCAGTACAACGTCCCTCTGATTTCTTTCAAGTACACCTTACCGCACAAGCTGTTGAATAAAGCTTGGTTCTTTCGGTTTAGAGACTCGTACGTCGTTACAAGGTCGAATAATCCTGCGTTAGAAAGGGACTTCGGGTTATGTATGGGTTTGATTAGTAACATATACGCGATTGAGGGTTGCTGGTCCCTTGCTAGAGACGCCATCTTACGAAGTATTGCTTGTTTGCGACGTTCCAACTCGAACATAGCAGTTCTATGTGACGTTTACACTAGTGCCGTCTACTTGTACAGTCATTGTGGCGACCTGCACATGTGCGAGAAACTCGAACGTTACTTCAACAGAGACATCTTGAAGTACTATTCAAACAACATCACGGGAGTTCTATACATGGTGGCTTCCATTCTCTCTGTGTTTTTTCTGGTGAAAATACTCGCCGGAGGCATCGGTGAGGCTCTTCAAGTCGGCTTCAGAAGCGTGGATTTGCAACTGAGTCTTCAAGCCCACATGTGCCTAGTCAATGTCGTACCTACGCTAGCAACCGCACTCATCTTTTTGAACCGAATTGACGACGCCGTTTATATGGGTCGTATTCTTCACAACATTGGTAAAAAGTACCACGCTCAGGGTTACGCCGCCTACTACGCTTTTTGTATCGAACTTATTCTAGAAACGAACTTCTTCTTAGAACCCATTGAGCGAATCGAGGAATTCGTTATCCATTTTCTTGAAACGAATCGCCACCCTACGAGTTTCATCAGTAAACTTTTGGTCAGTTTATATTGCTACTATCTGAGATACCTACCATCAAGAGCATCGGCGTTCAAGAAAAATCTTTCACTCGAAGCATACGAAAGTACACACATTATAAATTTGCTCGCTACGGTGAGGTACGTCGAGTGCCTCGTTTTGGAACAAGCTCGCTTAATCGAACAGAAAACGATAATAGATCGGGACGACATCGCTACCGCGTACATGTTTTTTCTTAAACTGAAAGATGCTCAAAAGAAGTGGATTTTTTTTAAACCGAGATATCTGCATTTGAAGGCGTACCACGCCAGACTTCAAGGTAAATCGTCTGAAGCAGTGACGATTTTAAAACAGGCGAACAAGGCGGCTACTGAACAGGGAAATATTTTGGAAGAGTGTTGGACAATGTTGCACTCGACGTGTTGGTTCGGAGGGTACGTGTTCGACAAACGTCAAATCAAACATTTAGATTGGACTTTAGCCAAGACTTACTCTCCGTTGCAGTTGTGCCAGGTTTTGTACGTGTTACCTACTTTCTAACAACTTTTTCTTACTCGTTCGTTGTAGTTATTGTTATTGTCAATAAATGTTGTGATTTCTGGTTTTTACTTTTACTTCTTTTTATTAGAAAATTGGAAAATTAACTTTTGTTAATCATTTATTTATACTTATTATTAATTATTATATTTTTTACATAGCAACTGTTCCAATATAAAATTAACACTCTTATTAAAATTTCATTTCCATCAACAACTCATTAACACCTTCTCCAAATTTTATTAATTGATGCTTGACATAAATTGTTCTTTCAGGTTTTCAAATTTAATGTTTCCAAGAGGTTTGGTAAATATGTCGGCGATTTGTTTTTCAGTTGAACAATACTTTATGTTTATAATACCTTTTCGCACCTTTTCATTTATAAAATGAAATCTTACATCTATGTGCTTGCTCCGTCGATTGAACTGTCCGGTTTTCACTATTGAGATTGCACTCTGATTATCAACGTACAAATCTATCTTCACTTCACCATTGGTAAGTTCATCAATTAGAGATTTGAGGTAAAGAAGTTCTATAACACATTCTGCAGCAGATATATACTCAGCTTCTGTGCTTGAAAGTGAAACTATTGGCTGTTTCCTGGAACACCACGATATGGGTCCACCACAAAAAAATATTATGTACCCTGTTGTACTTCTGCGTGTTTCAGTGTCCCCTGCAAAATCTGAATCACAATAGGCAATCAATCTCTCACTGTTTTGGCCATCGTAGCACAGTCCATCATTTTTTGTAGATATCAAATAGCGAAACACTCTTTTTACTGTTACAATGTCTTGATTTGAAAAATTTTCCATTTTTCTACTACAGTAATTCACTGCATATGATATGTCTGGTCTGGTCTTGTTGTTTAAATATAATAAACTTCCAACAGCTTCTCTGAATGGATAATTAATTTTTACCATTTTATCTTCTGAACTTATATCTTGTTTGACCATGGGCGTAGGTACAGGTTTGGAGTTTTGCATATTAAATTTTTCTAAAGTTGCTTGTACATAATCTTGTTGTGAAAGTATAACTTTTCCATCATGTTTTTGAATACTAATTCCTAAAAACCTATTAGGATTTTTTTCACTTGTCATTTCAAATTCGGTTTGAAGATTTTTCAATAACAATTTCATTTCTTCTTCACATTTGCTGATCAATAATCCGTCATCAACAAAGATTGCTAATAACATGGTCTTTTCTATATTCGTAAATAAACATTGATCACTAATCAGTGGTTTTAAACCATTCAGTTTTAAAGATGTAGTAAAACGTTCATTCCATTTCATAGGAGCTTGTTTTAGGCCATATAGCGATTTCGACAATTTACACACTTTGTTTTCAGTTTGTTCACATTTGAACCCCTCTGGTACATGCATAAAAATTTCTTCTGAAATACTTCCAAACAAAAATGCTGTTTTTACGTCAAATTTGGTAACTGACATATTATACTTGGCAGCCAGTGCTAACATTATTCTTACTGAGCTTATGTTCACAACTGGACTGAATGTTTCGTTGTAATCTATTCCCTTATGTTGTTGGCACCCTCTTACTACCAACTTTGCTCTATATTTTCCATTATCTTTAACTTTGAATACCCACTTGCTTGTCAGAATGCGATGTTTGTCTACTTCATTTATATTCACGTAACTCCATGTAAGATTTTTATTCAGAGATTCTTTTTCTTCACGTATAGCCTCAAGCCATTTGTCCTTTTCTGGTCCCTTGACTGCTTCTTCATAAGTCAATAACGCTTCTTCTTCAACAAAGTTTACAATATAATCTTTAAGTTTTACAGATTGTTTTAATTTTCTTCCACTTCTTGTTTCTGCGATGCCTTCTCCTCTTCTTGATTCTGTGATGCCTTCTCCTCTTCTTGATTCTGTGATGCCTACTCCTCTTCTTGATTCTGTGATGCCTTCTCCTCTTCTTGATTCTGTGATGCCTTCTCCTTCTCCCAAAATTATGTTTTGTACTTCTATTTGATTTGGTTTTTGTCTAATGTCTTGTTCATTTTCAGTTTCGGTTTCTGAATTTTCACCTGTATTGTTTTCTTCTAATTCTGCATTCTGTTCCTGATTTTCTTCGTCGCTTTCTATAACATTTATTTTGCTTGTTCTTCTGTAATCAGCCAAAGATTGACTACCTGGTTCATTGAAGATAACATCTCGGTGTATTTTTATTTCCTTAGATTTTTCATCCCATAAGCGGTAACCATTTGGTGCATATCCTACAAAAAGATACCTTTTACTTCTAGGGTCAAGTTTGTGTAAATTTCCCAGTGTCTTTGCATATGCTACAGAACCAAATATTTGTAATCTGGACAGATCAGGTTTCATTTTGGTCCAGTATTCTATTGGTGTTTTGTCTATTGCTTCTGTAGGACTTCGATTTAACAGATACGCTGCTACATACGCAGCTTCGCCCCAAAAATCTTTACTTAGCTTGCTGTCAAATATCATCGCTCTTGCCTTTTCCAATAAGGTTCTATTTAATCTTTCTGCTTTTCCATTTAGTTGTGGACTATGGGGTATAGAATAATCCAGAACAATGCCTTTATTTTTTATCCAGAGTTTAAAATTCGATGACGTATATTCACCACCATTGTCACAACGTATTTTTACCACCTTTTGATTATGATAAGCTTCTGCTTCTCTAATAAAATCTTTTAAATGTTCTGATACTTCACTCTTATACTTCAATAGAAAAATTCTACAATAATGAGTATAATCATCTAACACTGTTAAAATGTATCGTTTTCCATCCCAAGTTTCAGGATCGATTGGGCCGCATACATCTGTATGTAGAATTTCTAGTGGTCTTCTTGCCCTCTGTCTCGTTGTATTAAAAGGGAGTCTTGTTTGCTTTGCTTCCATGCAGACTTCACAGAAACCCATTTGACACTTCTTTTTATTCAGTTTCATGCCTGTCGATAGATCTATTAATCTTTTTATATTCTTTGTTCCCAAATGTCCTAGCTTTCTATGCCAGTCTTTTACTGAAGTATTTTCTGCAAGATAACTCTCTTCCTCACTTTGATTTATACTAATCATATATAAACCACTTTCAATTTTTTTTCCTTCAAGTATTTTTTCATTGTTTTTCTTTATTACTACCTTTTCTTTAGTAAATGTTACTTCACCATCATTCTCTGTTATAGCATTAACCGACAGTAGATTTTTGCTTAATTCGGGTACAAAAAGTACATCATTCAGTATACATGAACTTCCTTCAACTGTTCCTTTCCCTTCTGCCTTCATTTTTTCATTCTTCTTTGCAACTTGTATGCTACTTTCGATATTTTCTAATGCTGTAAACATCACTTTCGAGTTGACCATGTGGGATGAACATCCTGAATCAACTATAAAATCTTGCGTTGTCATTCTTCTGTCTTCTGTAAGAAAGGCTATCTTCTTTTTTTCTAATGATTTTGTCTTATCTCTAAAAAAACAGTCTTGCTCTTTATGGTTTGTTTTCTTGCAAATCTTGCATTGGTTATTTGTCTTTTTGGGACAGTTATTTGCAATATGTCCAAAGCACCCACACTTAAAACATTTTACTTCGCCAGCACCCTTTTCTTTCCATTTTCGGCAAAATCTTGTATCATGCGAACTACTTTTACAATGTTTACAAAATCTCTCTGAACTTTTAAAAGCAATATCTCTCTCACTTTCCTTGCTACGGTTTTCTTCGGATAGTAGTCTTGCTATCAATTTTGGTAAGGTTTTCTCATTATCTTGAGTAGATTCCCAGGCAGTCCTGAAGAAACCATAACTTTGAGGTAAAGATGACAGTATTTTTGACATTAACATGTTGTCATCAACTGTTTGATTTAGACTTTTTAATTTGTGTGCAATACTCTCTATTTTGCTAATGTGAGTAGCCATATCAGTACCTTTTCCAAATGTGTAGCTGTAGAATTCTTGCAGCAAATTACATATTTGTTCTGAAGTGCTTCTTTCAAAAATATTTTTGATTTTTTCGAACATTTCTTTGGAGGTGGTGCAGTCCATAATGTGCATCATGTACTTTTTGTCTATTGACGTCACAATTAGTTTTTGCGCTTTTGCATCATTTCTCACCCATTTAGTTTTATCTTCCTTCTTTTCCACACTAGATAGAAGCTTGTCTCCATTTACTATTCCAAACAGATCATAAGCCTTAAATGTTACTACTATTTGAAATTTCCACAGCTGATACGTGGTTTCATCTTTGAGCTTTTCTATTAAATTCACCTCTTCTGTCATTGCCATTATTTTTGTTTTTTTTTCTTCTTATGTCACTGTCAAATACGTTTTCTTCCTTTTCGAGTTTTATTTCTCTCGTTAAGATTCTAAAATTTCTTCTTCTAGCTTTACTGCCTCAGTACTTGCGAGTACTCTGGGCCCATAACCTGTTGTGTTTTCTGGTTTTTACTTTTACTTCTTTTTATTAGAAAATTGGAAAATTAACTTTTGTTAATCATTTATTTATAATTATTATTAATTATTATATTTTTTACATAGCAACTGTTCCAATATAAAATTAACACTCTTATTAAAATTTCATTTCCATCAACAACTCATTAACAATAAATACGTTTAGATGTGACGTTGTTGTGTTTGATTTTTTAGGAAACGGGGAACGCTTTAGACAGCGATGGTCACGTTGACAGTACTCTTATAGAATGGATTCGAATGGGTACTACCGTGGCTACCAACGCCTTATTAGAGCGAAAAGGGGAAAGAATGGCATTTGTTACCAACCAAGGCTTTAAAGACATCCTCTTAATCGGCAACCAAGCCAGACCTAAAATTTTTGACCTTGTAAGTCAGTAGCGACTGTCGAAATTTTCTCTCTCAATCAGATTTTAGAACATCAGGCGACCCGAAATTTTGTACTCAGAGACCGTCGAAGTCGACTGTAGGGTCATCCCGCTTCTGAAAGGCCGCTGTGAACTCGAAGACCCGACTTTACGAAGCTGGCGAGTCGTCGACTGCGCATCCGGTGATCGCTTCTACATCACTCGCGAGCTCAACAAAGACGAAGTCCACTTGAAACTCAAACAAATCAAAGACAAAGGTATCAATAGCATCTCGGTAGCGCTTGCCCACAGCTACACCTTCCACGAGCACGAACTGGAGATCGGGAAAATAGCCAAAGAGCTAGGTACGCATTGTCTGCTCTTTAACCCTTTCTAAGACACTGTTGTAGGCTTCCAGCACGTCTCTCTGTCTCACCAAGTCATCCCCATGGTCCGTATTGTCCCTCGAGGCTTCACTTCCTCAGCCGACGCTTATCTCACCCCTCACGTAAAACGCTACGTCGAGGGTTTCGCCCACGGCTTCAAAAACAACCTAGAGGGTACTCGCGTCTTGTTCATGCAAAGCGACGGCGGCTTAACCCCAATGGACAACTTCAACGGAGCTCGGGCCATCTTGTCGGGTCCTGCTGGCGGCGTAGTGGGTTATGCCGTCACCACGTGGCAGAAAGAAACCAACTTGCCTGTCATAGGCTTCGACATGGGTGGTACCTCGACTGACGTGTCGCGCTTCGCGGGTAACTTTGAGCACGTCTTCGAAAGTACCACGGCTGGAGTCACCATTCAAGCACCCCAACTGGACGTCAACACGGTGGCCGCTGGAGGCGGCTCCATGCTCTTCTTCAGGTACTCTTCAAATAATTAATTACTTTTTACTAGTAGTACTTGTTCAGATCTGGTTTATTCGTAGTCGGACCTGAGTCCGCAGGGGCTCACCCAGGCCCCGCTTGTTACAAAAAGGGTGGCCCGCTTACTGTAACGGACGCCAATTTGGCTCTCGGGCGGCTTCTCCCTGAGTACTTCCCGAGGATTTTCGGCCCGAATGAAGACTCGGCTTTGGATAGAGACGCCACAATTAACCTTTTCAAGACTTTGACAGACGAAATCAACGACTTCTTGAAGACTGAGAGTCCGATGAGTATGGAAGAAGTCGCGATGGGTTTTATTCGAGTGGCCAATGAGAGTATGTGTCGTCCCATTCGGGCTCTCACTCAAGCTAAAGGGTACGACACTGCCCGGCACGCTTTAGCTTGTTTTGGGGGTGCTGGGGGCCAGCACGCGTGCGCTATAGCTCGCTCTTTGGGGATGTCCACGGTTTTCGTACACAAGTACGCCGGGATTTTATCCGCTTATGGGATGGCTTTGGCCGATGTGGTCTACGAAGCGCAAGAACCGTGCGCCAAGGTCTACAACAAAGTCAATTTTGAGTACTTCGATGAGCGTCTGCAGGTGTTGGAGGAGCAATGTAAAGAAGAACTAAAGAAGCAAGGTTTCGGGGAAGAGAGTATAGTTTTGAAGCCGTATCTTCACATGAGGTACGATGGTACGGACTGTGCACTCATGTGTGGTCCGGCACCAGGTGGTGGTACCACACACGGCGACTTCTTGGTTTCTTTCATCGACAAGTACCAATCAGAGTTTGGGTTTGTTATCCACAAGAGGAATGTCATTGTGGATGATATTCGGGTACGCGGGGTTGGCAAAAGCGACTTGATTGAAGAAGTAGCCGTCGAAAAAGGTCACGACGAACCGACGTGCGAACAAACTGTTCAGGTTTACTTTGAAAACGGTGCGCAAGACACCAATGTCTACCTTCTGAAGAATTTGAAAGCCGGGCATGTCATTCAAGGTCCGGCTATCATTATGGATGATTTGAGTACTATTTTGATAGAGCCGGATTGCACTGGAGTTATCACTACGTTCGGCGATGTTAAAATAACGGTTGGTACTGGAGCGGTGAAAGACATCGGGCCCGAGTTGGACTCAATTCAACTGAGTATATTTAGTCACCGGTTTATGAGTATTGCGGAACAAATGGGGAGGATCTTGCAACGAACGTCCATTTCTACCAATATTAAAGAACGACTAGATTTTTCTTGCGCTTTGTTTGGACCGGATGGTGGATTGGTGTCCAACGCGCCTCATATTCCCGTCCATTTAGGGGCCATGCAGGAGGCGGTTCAGTACCAGATGAAGACTAAGGGTGAGTTCGAGTATGGAGAAGTGATTCTGTCCAACCATCCAGCTGCTGGTGGGTCGCATTTGCCGGACTTAACGGTCATCACACCCGTTTTTCACCAGTGAGTACTCAATTTATTATTGCATCTTACTCCCGGTATGCTCGAAATCTACATGAACATGTATTTAGTTGAGTTTCGAAAATTTCAAAATTTTTGCGAAATTTGAACCATTGAATAATTTCAATTTAAAAAAAATTGTCTAAAAATTATGAAAAAATTCAAGGACGTAGATCTCGACACGCTGATTCCAAAAATATAGCATGTTGATGGTCACGAAGCAAGATTTTCGAAAAAATCGTTGCGAAATGCGAATTTTTGAAAATTTCAAAAATTTCGAAATTTCAACGGTCGATTCTGGAAAAACGGTTGCATGTATCAAAAAACCGAAGCCGGATTTGAGTTCCACGGCTCGAAATCCACAAGAAAATGTATTTAGTTGAGTTTCGAAAATGTCAAAATTTTTGCGAAATTTGAAGAAGGGGGGACCGTTAAAAAATTTCAATTTTAAAAAAGTTGCCTAAAAATTATGAAAAAATTCAAGGACGTAGATCTCGACACGCTGATTCCAAAAATATAGCATGTTGATGGTCACGAAGCAAGATTTTCGAAAAAATCGTTGCGAAATGCGAATTTTTGAAAATTTCAAAAATTTCGAAATTTCAACGGTCGATTCTGGAAAAACGGTTGCATGTATCAAAAAACCGAAGCCGGATTTGAGTTCTACGGCTCGAAATCTACAAGAAAATGTATTTAGTTGAGTTTCGAAAATGTGAAAATTTTTGCGAAATTTGAAGAAGGGGGGACCGTTAAAAAATTTCAATTTTAAAAAAGTTGTCTAAAAATTATGAAAAAATTCAAGGACGTTGATCTCGACACGCTGATTCCAAAAATATAGCATGTTGATGGTCACGAAGCAAGATTTTCGAAAAAATCGTTGCGAAATGCGAATTTTTGAAAATTTCAAACTTTTTCGAAATTTCAACGGTCGATTCTGGAAAAACGGTTGCATGTATCAAAAAACCGAAGATGGATTTGAGTTCTACGGCTCGAAATCTACAAGAAAATGTATTTAGTTGAGTTTCGAAAATGTCAAAATTTTCGCGAAATTTGAAGAAGGGGGGACCGTTAAAAAATTTCAATTTTAAAAAAGTTGTCTAAAAATTGTGAAAAAATTCAAGGACGTAGATCTCGACACGCTGATTCCAAAAATATAGCATGTTGATGGTCACGAAGCAAGATTTTCGAAAAAATCGTTGCGAAATGCGAATTTTTGAAAATTTAAAAAATTTCGAAATTTCAACGGTCGATTCTGGAAAAGCGGTTGCATGTATCAAAAAACCGAAGCCGGATTTGAGTTCTACGGCTCGAAATCTACAAGAAAATGTATTCAGTTAGGTTTCGAAAATGTCAAAATTTTTGCGAAATTTGAAGAAGGGGGGACCGTTAAAAAATTTCAATTTTAAAAAAGTTGTCTAAAAATTATGAAAAAATTCAAGGACGTAGATCTCGACACGCTGATTCCAAAAATATGGCATGTTGATGGTCACGAAGCAAGATTTTCGAAAAAATCGTTGCGAAATGCGAATTTTTGAAAATTTCAAAAATTTCGAAATTTCAACTCTCGATTCTGGAAAAACGGTTGCATGTATCAAAAAACCGAAGCCGGATTTGAGTTCTACGGCTCGAAATCTACAAGAAAATGTATTTAGTTGAGTTTCGAAAATGTCAAAATTTTTGCGAAATTTGAAGAAGGGGGGACCGTTAAAAAATTTCAATTTTAAAAAAGTTGTCTAAAAATTATGAAAAAATTCAAGGGCGTAGATCTCGACACGCTGATTCCAAAAATATAGCATGTTGATGGTCACGAAGCAAGATTTTCGAAAAAATCGTTGCGAAATGCGAATTTTTGAAAATTTCAAAAATTTCGAAATTTCAACGGTCGATTCTGGAAAAACGGTTGCATGTATCAAAAAACCGAAGCCGGATTTGAGTTCTACGGCTCGAAATCTACAAGAAAATGTATTTAGTTGAGTTTCGAAAATGTCAAAATTTTTGCGAAATTTGAAGAAGGGGGGACCGTTAAAAAATTTCAATTTTAAAAAAGTTGTCTAAAAATTATGAAAAAATTCAAGGACGTAGATCTCGACACGCTGATTCCAAAAATATGGCATGTTGATGGTCACGAAGCAAGATTTTCGAAAAAATCGTTGCGAAATGCGAATTTTTGAAAATTTCAAAAATTTCGAAATTTCAACGGTCGATTCTGGAAAAACGGTTGCATGTATCAAAAAACCGAAGCCGGATTTGAGATCTACGGCTCGAAATGTACAAGAAAATCTATTTAGTTGAGTTCCGAAAATGTCAAAATTTTTGCGAAATTTGAAGAAGGGGGGACCGTTAAAAAATTTCAATTTTAAAAAAGTTGTCTAAAAATTATGAAAAAATTCAAGGACGTAGATCTCGACACGCTGATTCCAAAAATATAGCATGTTGATGGTCACGAAGCAAGATTTTCGAAAAAATCGTTGCGAAATGCGAATTTTTGAAAATTTCAAAAATTTCGAAATTTCAACGGTCGATTCCGAAAAAACGAGTGCAGTTATCAAAGAACCGAGTCCGGATTTTAGTTCTAGAGCTCGAAATCTATAAGAAAATATATTTAGTGAAGTTTCGTAAATGTCAAAATTTTTCCGAAATTTGAAGGAGGAAATTTTCAGGGACCTGCGTAAGCCCATCTTCTTCGTGGCCAGCCGCGGCCACCACGCCGACATCGGCGGCATCACCCCCGGTTCCATGCCCCCTCACTCCACGAGCTTAAGCCAAGAAGGCGCCGCCTTCAAGTCCTTCACCCTGGTGTCCAACGGTCGCTTCCTCGAGGACGAAGTCATCTCCGCCTTCACCAAAGCCGGGGGTCGCAACCTCAGCGACAACATCTCCGACCTTCGCGCCCAAGTCGCCGCCAACAAGAAAGGCATCGCTCTGGTGGGCGAGCTCATCGACCAGTACGGCCTGGACGTGGTGCAGGCCTACATGGACCACATCCAGAAGAACGCCGAGGTGGCCGTCAGGGACATGCTGAAGCAGGTGGCCAAGGACGCGCTGGAGCGCACCGGGAGGACCGTCCTGGAGGCCGAGGAGTTCATGGACGACGGCTCGCCCATCGTGCTCAAAGTCACCCTGGACGCGGACAGCGGCTCCGCGGTGTGCGACTTCACGTACGTAGGGGGCATGACAGAGACGCGCTGCTGGCGGTCACGAATTCTCGCGCCGGTAATAAAATATGCAATCAGTGCAGCGTATCTCTGGAATGAATGAGCTATAAGAAACTTTATTGTGAGTTGGTGATTCCAATCTTGAACAGGGGCACCGGACCGGAAGTTTGGGGTAACTGCAATGCGCCCAAAGCTATCACGCTCTCGGCCCTTATTTACTGCCTGCGCTGCATGGTCGGACACGACGTTCCGCTTAATCAGGTATGCATAGTGGGTAGGACTGCGCTGTACGGTGTTTAAAAGATCCTAAAGAATGTTCGATGGATGCTCGGGCGTTTGGTGCTTGCGATTATGGGCCGGAAAATTGTACGGCGATTGAATTTTACAGACGGAGAGTGCTTTCGGTTGTGCTGGCTTTCGTGGGCTTTGTTAATTGGGGGATGGTTTTCGGGGGAAAGCGGGATGTCCAGTGGCGAATAATAATAATAATAATGGTAGTCTTGGTGATGATAAAAAAATTCCAAGGGGTGGTGGTCCGTACAAGTACGGATAATATGAAATATATTTAAACCAACCTCAACGCGAAACAATGTTTTCGGAAAAATCAAAAAACTGGAAAATTGAAATATTGCTCAACTCGAACAAACTAATTGTTGAAAAGTCAAAAACTGAAATAGTGAAAAACTGAAAAATCTAAGAAAAATTGAAAAAAAAAAACTAGAAATCGGTTAATTCAGAAATTAAGAAATCCAAAAATCGAAAATTTAGAAACAACAAAAATTAAAAAAAAAAAATTGAAATCCCAAATGGAAATCCTGAAAAATCTAAGAAAAACTGAAGAATCGAGAAATCGAAGTCGGAAAATCGAAAAACTGAAACATCAAAAACCTGAAAAATCGAAAAATTGAAGAATTGAAAAACTGAAAAATCGAAAAATCGAGAAATCTAAAAATCGAATAGTTGAAAAATAGTTGAATTTAAAAAATGGAAAAATTGAAAAATCAATAAACTAAAAAGTCAAAAATTGAAAAATATAAATATCGAGGAACTGAAAAATCTAAAATTTAATAAACCGACAAATTAAAATTCCGAAAAAATTGAAGAATCGAAAAATTTAATCGAAAAACTGAAAAATGGAGCAATTGAAAAGTCGAAGTGTCGAAAAATCGAAAAGTCGTAAAATCAAAAAATCAAAAACCGAGTAATCGGAAAATCGCAACCCTGGAATAATGAGAAAGGAAACATCAAAAGATCGAGAAATCGAAAGTCGATAGGCCGAAAATTCGAAAGTGTCCAAAATCGAAAAATTGCAAAATTTAAAATAAAAAAAATTGACAACTCGAAAAATTGAAAAATATAAAAATCGAAAAATTGATCAATTGAAAAATTGAAAGTTCGAAAAACCAAAAAATCGGTTAATTGAGAAACTGAGAAATCTAAGAATCGAAAATTGAAAAAAAAAAATAGGGAACCCCAAAACTGAAAAATTGAAAAATCGAAGAAAAATTGAAAAATCGGGAAGTTGAAGTCGAAAAATTGAAACATCAGGAACCTGAAAAATCTAAATATCGGAGAATTGAAAAACTGAAAACCTGAAAAATCGAAAAAACAAAAAAATCGGTTAATTGAGAATTGAGAAGTCCAAAAATCGAAAATTTAGAAACATCAAAAATTAAAAAAAATTGGGAATCCCAAAATTGAAAAATTGAAAAATCTAGGAAAAACTGAAGAATCGAGAAATCGAAGTCGAAAAAGCAAAAAACTGAAACATCAAAAACCTGAAAAATCGAAAAATCGAATAATTCAAGAATTGAAAAATAGAAAAATCGAGTAATCAAAGAATTGAAAATCGGAGAACTGAAAAATCGAAAAATCGAACAATAAAGAAACTGAAAATTGCCAAAACTGGAATACCGAAAAATTGAAAACCGAAAGCTGAAAAATCGAGAAATCTAAAAATCGAACTGAAAAGTTAAAAATTTAAAAATTTGAAAAATTGAAAAATACTTATAAATATCAAAGAACTAAGAAATCTAAAATTTAACAAATTGAAAAATTAAAGTGTTAACAAATTGAAGAATCGAAAAATTGAAAAATCAAGAATTGGAAACATCAAAAATTCAAAATATTGAAAAATCGAAAAATCTAAAACTCAAAAAGTCTAAAATTTGAGCTCGGAAAATTGAATCGAAAAACTGAAAAACGAAATAATTGAAAAGTCGGAACAACAAAAAATCCTGGAATATCGAGAAACAAAACATTATAAGATCGAGAAATCGAGAAATCGAAAAGTTGAGAAGTCGAAAAATTAAAAAACCCCAAAACTGAAATATTGAAAAATCGAAGAATCCAAAAATTCCAAAATTGAAACATCAAAAATCTGAAAAGACGAAAAATCGAAAAGCTGAAGAATTGAGAAATTAAAAAATATAGAGAGAACTCGAAAAATCGAAAAGTCGAAAATCCAAAAAAATCGGTTAATTGAGAATTGAGAAATCCAAAAATCGAAAATTTAGAAATATACAAATTAAAAAAAAATGGGAATCCCAAAATTGAAAAACTGAAAAATCTAAGAAAAACTGAAGAATTGAGAAACCGAAGTCGAAAAATCGAGTAATTTAAGAATTGAAAAATTGAAAAATCGAAAAATTGAGTAATCAAAAAATTGAAAATCGGGGAACTGAAAATTCCCAAAACTGGAGTATCGAAAAATTGAAAACCGAAAGCTGAAAAATCGAGAAATTTGAAAATTGAACTGAAAAGTTAAAAATTTAAAAATTTGAAAAATTGAAAAATGTAAATATCAAAGACTTGAGAAATCTAAAATTTAAAAAGTCGAAAATTTGAAGCTCTGAAAATTGAATTGAAAAATCGAAAAATTGATCAATTGAAAAATTGAAAGTTCGAAAAACCAAAAAATCGGTTAATTGAGGAACTGAGAAATCTAAGAATGGAAAATTTAGAAAGATCAAAAATTGAAAAAAAAAAAATTGGGAACCCCAAAACTGAAAAATTGAAAAATCGAAGAAAAACTGAAAAATCGAGAAGTCGAAGTCGAAAAATTGAAACATCAGAAACCTGAAAAATCGAAAAATCGGAGAACTGGAAAACTGAAAACCTGAAAAATCGAAAAATCAGGAAATCGAGAAGTAGAGTCGAAAACGCGAAAAACTAAAAAATCGATTAATCCAGACATTGATAAATCCTAAAATCGAAAATTTAGAAACATCAAACATTGAAAAAAAAGGGCAATCGAAAAATGAAAACATTGAGAAATCGAAAATTTGAACAATCAAGAATTAAAGAAAAGAAAAATTGAAAAACCCCAGCAGTGAAATATCGAAATATCGAACAATCCAAAAAAAATGAAAAATCGAAAAATTAAAGCATTAAAAATCTGAAAAAACGAAAAATCGAAAAACTGAAGAATTGAGAAACTAAAAAATCTAGAGAGAAGTCGAAAAACCAAAAAAATCGGTTAATTGAGAATTGAGAAATCCAAAAATCGAGAATTTAGAAAGATCAAAAGTTGAAAAAAAAAATTGAGAACCCCAAAACTGAAAAATTGAAAAATCGAAGAAAAATTGAAAAATCGAGAAGTTGAAGTCGAAAAATTGAAACATCAGAAACCTGAAAAATCGAAAAAACGGAGAACTGGAAAACTGAAAACCTGAAAAATCGAAAAATCAGGAAATCGAGAAGTAGAGTCGAAAACGCGAAAAACTAAAAAATTGATTAATCCAGACATTGATAAATCCTAAAATCGAAAATTTAGAAACATCAAAAATTGAAAAAAAAAAGGACAATCGAAAAATGAAAACATTGAGAAATCGAAAATTTGAACAATCGAGAATTGAAGAAAAGAAAAATTGGAAAACGCCAGCAGTGAAACATCGAAAAATTGAAAATTGAGGAATTGAATATGGAAATATTGAAAAATCGGAGAAAAATTGAACGATCGGGAAATCGAAGTTGAAAAATCGAAAGTACAAGAACTGAGAAACTAAAACATCGAGAAATCGAGAAGGCGAAAAATGGAGTGGTCGAAAATCCAAAAAATGGGTTAATCGAGAAATTGAAAAATCCAAAAATCCAAAATTTAAGAACATCAAAACTGGAAAAAAATGGGAATCCCAAAACTGAAAAATTGAAACACTGAAGAAAATCTAAAAAATTGACAAGTTGAAATCGAAAAATCGAAAAATTGAAACATCAAAAATCTATAAAATCAAAAAATCGAAGAATTGAAACATCAAAAATCTATAAAATCAAAAAATCGAAGAATTGGAGAACCGAAAAATTGAAAAATCGAAAAATCGGGAAATCGAAAGTCGAAAAATCGAAAAACCGAAAAACCAAAAAGTCGATTAATCGAGAAATTGAGAAATCCAAAAATTGAATTTAGAAACATTAAAAGTTGAAAAAAAAAGGAGACAGAAAAACGAAAACATTGAGAAATAGAAAATTTCTCAATCGAGAATTGAAGAAAGGAAAAATTGAAAAATCGTAACACTGAAGTATCGAAAAATTGAAAATCGACAAATTAAAAAATCAAAAAATCCAACAAAAGAGCTGAAAATTTCGAAAACTGAAATATTGAAAAATTGAGAAACCGAAAGTTGAAAAATCGAGAAATCTCAAAAACGAAACATTTTGAAAATCGAAAAACCGAGATAAGAAGAAATCGAATAAAAACAATAGTAAAATCGAAAAATTGAAAAATCAATAAACTAAAAAGTCAAAAATTTGAAAATTTGAAAAATTGAAAAATATAGATATGGAAGGACTGAAAAATCGAACAATCGAGACTTCGAGAAATCAAGAAATTGAGAAATCGAAATACCTAAAATTGAAAAATCGAGAATTCGAAACATCAAAAATCGACAAATTGAAAAATTGAAAAATCTAAAATCTCGGAAAATTGAAATGAAAACTGAAAAATGGAGTTTCAATTTTTAGAGAAATTGAAAAATCAGAACATCGAAAAACCGAGAAATCGGAAAATTGAAAAACTGGGTCATCGAGAAACGAATCAGCAAAAATTGAGAAGTAGAAAAATCGAAAAATTCAAAATTTGGAAGTGTACAAAATCAAAAAATCGAGTAGTTAAAAATTGAGATATTGAAAAATTTTAAATTAAAAAAAATCGTTAAATCCAAAAATTGATCAATCGAAAAATCGAAACATCGAAATTTCGAAAAATCTAGTTATTGAAAAATTGAAAAATCGAAAAATTTCTAAATTTTAAATATCGAAAAATTGAAAACCCGAAAAGTCTAAAATAGAAAAGTCGAAAAATCGAAAGATCGAGAAATGGAAACATAAAAAATGTGAAAAGTTTAAAATAATTTAAAAATGCGAAAAATTGAAAAATAGAAATGTGGAAAAACTGAACAATGCAGAAATCGAAAAATCTAAAATTTGAAAAACTGAAAAATTAAAATATTGAAAAATTGTGAAATCGAAAAGGCTAGAATTCAAAACGTAAAAAATCGAAAAATTGAAAAATCTAAAATTTAGAAATCGAAAAATTGAAACTTCGAGTAATCGAAAATTTGAAAAATCCGAAATTGAAATATCGAAGTCGAAAAATCAGAAATTTAATTAAAACCGAAAAATTGCAAAACCAAAATCCTGAAAAATTGAAAAGTTGAAAAATTAAAAAACTGAAAAATCGAGGAATCGAAGAGTCGAAAAACCAAAAATCGATTAATAGAGAAATTGAGAAATCGAAAAATCCGAATTTAGAAACCTTAAAAATTGAAGAATCGAAAAATCTAAGAATTAAAAAGTCGAAAAGTTGATGAATTGAACAATTGAAAAATCTGTAACTGAACATCGGAAAATTGAGAAATCGAAAAATGAAAAAGTCGAGAAATCAAAATAAAAAGCCAAAAAATTGAAACACTGAAATATGTATCTAAAATTTAAGAATCGAAAAATTGAAAACTGAACAAGAAAAAATCCAGAATCCGAAAAATTGGAAATAGAAAATTTGAAAAATCGAAGTCGAAAAATCGAAAAATTGAAAAACCAAAAACCTGAAAAATTGAAGAACTGGAAAACTGAAAAATTGGGAAATCGAAATTTTAAATTTTGAAGTCGAAAAACTGAAAAATCCTGAAAGTGAAACATCGGAAAATTGAGAAATCGAAAAATGAAAAATCGAGAAATCGAAACATCGAAAAATCGAAGAATCCAAGAATAGAAAAAAATCGAAGTCGAAAAATTTAAAAATCAAAAACTTGAAAAATCGAAAAATTGAAGGATTGAAAAACTGAAAAATCGAAAAATCGAGAAACCGGCAAGTCAAGAAATCAGGAAGTTGAAAAACCAAAAAACTGATTAATCGAGAAATTGAGAAATCGAAAAATCGAAAAACTGAAAATTTAGAAACGTCAAAAATTGAAAAGTTGAAAAATTGAACAATCCCAACAGAAATATCGGAAAATTAAGTCATTGGAAAATTGAAGACTAAAAAAACTGAAAAATCCAAAAACTGAAATATCGAAAAATTGTTAATTCAAAAATTCGATAAATTGTTATGTATCTTCATTTTTTTTTCGAAAAATCTCGATGTCTAGGATAAAAATCCAACACGGACTCATAATGAATAAGTTCAGGACTATGTTACTTTTTAACAGTTAAATAATATAAATTTTAATGAACGATTTATCATGTTTACAAAATTTGAAAGCAAAATGTTGTTCTACAATTTTGATGTTTTTTTTTTAAATCTGCATACCTAAGGTAAAAACTCAACACTCAATTTAATTAACATTTACTGTTGTAAAATTTAGAGACGACGTCATTCCATTGTTGGTGGGGATGATGGTTAATGTTTTACCATCTATATACATATACATACAAAATTTACCAACAATCTAGCCGGTAGTTTCCGAACTTAAGAACTTATATGTATACAATACAGGGTGATTCACAGAATTATTGAGAACGCAACCCAGACTACATATCTAAGGGGTCCGTAGACGTAATTATTTATTTATCAACAGAAAAATCGTAATCAAGTTATGCTGCAAATATAGAACACCATCAAAATCCTTGATAGCCAAAATCAAGTACATCGCAACTAAAAGAAGAAATCACATCTTCTATAATAACAAAACAAACAAAAGTGACACAATGAGGGAAGAAATTTCATTAGATGTTTTATTGTTGCTTCACGTTTTCACCCGACCTCGTTATCCGAGAGTTCGGACACACTCTCCTCCTGCTCGACCTCCTCCGGGATTCCCTCCCACCTCCTGATCTTCTCCGGGTTGGCGAACTCCTGCACGTGCTTCTCCACCACGTACTTGTACCTCTCCGGCGTCCTCGTCAGCACCAGCGCCGCGCACTGGTTCAGCGGGTCGTCGGGGTTCGGGTGCTTCAATAACTGCGGCAGGAACGTGTCGAAGATGAGCACCAGGTCGTACAACGCCGTCCACTTCTGGTTGAGCACGTCCAGACACACCGTCCCCGAGGTCTGGTCCACGTTGGGGTGGAAAATCTGCGTGTCGAAGCCGATGCTGGGCGACTTGAAGGGGTAGTTCTCTGGGAGAATTACCCTCACCCTCCACACGCCGCCCTCGTAGGGGGTGTCGGCGGGCCCGTGGAACTTCACGACCAAGTGGCGGTAATTGTCGAAGGTGGAGACGTCGAACTTGCTGGAGATCAGTCTCATTACGTCGATTTTGATGCGGTGGTTGGATGTGGTGAGGCTCATCTGAAACGAAGGTCTTAAAACAAGGGGAATAATGGTGGAGATTTTAGGATTTTCGGTGATGTGGGTGTTAGGATTAAGGGATCAATTTTTTACGAGTTATCAATACTTAAGCGGAGGGGTGTGGAACTCGCGAAGAATTCGGATGTCCATCTCGGGTATCAAATATTCATTTGTGCGATATTGTGCCTGGGAAATGTTGAAAGGTCTTGTCGGGGCGAATCGACGGCGTGAGAGGAGGGTTCGCAATGGACTTACCTTTGAAGCAGTGCTGACGTGGTTATTGAATTGACAATTTTCGATGTTGGTGAAGTGACGTTTGTAGTTGCCGGGGTTACGGAGCGAAGGCGGTTCGCTGGATTCTGAGACGTGTTTCTATTAATAGATAGTAGACGAAAAAGGGAATTAAACTTCCTCGTTATGTCTTCAGTGTTTCAGCTTCGTTTCTGGGAAAGGTTTTACTTATGAAGTTTTACGTGATAAGGACTCTCGTAGTTAAATAGACGAAGAGTAGAACGTTTAAAGTTTGATGAGAAACTTAAATTGGCTTAAAACTAGAGCACCGTTTGTAGTGCAATAAGTTATTGTTCTAATTATTCAGTAGCTAATCTCCGAAATGCTAACCAACCCCACCACCAATCGGATGACGTCAAAGTTGTCATCAAAAGCCATCAATATTATATAATAATATTTTGCAATTTAACTTTGAAACAACTTCGAAATCGTTGGTTTATTAGTGCACCCATAGTTTTTCGAATTACTTATACAGGGTGACAAAAAAATTAATGATTGGGCAGTTTATTGTTTTGATTAAATCAAAAACAACTCACTCAATTTTCCCGAAAATTTGCGAATACAGTACTGTGATTATTATTAGTATTACACTGAAATATTTTTTAATGTCACAATTTTTCGTTTTTTCTTTTTCTTTAATTTTTCAATTTGTCAATTTTCAATATTTCGGTTCTATAAATTTTCGTTTTCTTGACTTCCAAATTGTTCAGTTTTTCGTTCTGCAATTTTTCGATGTTACAATTTTTCATTTTTCGATTTTTCAGTTTCTCAATTTTTAATTTTTCGTTTCCTAAGTTTTTCAAGTTCTCGATTTTTATTTTTCATTTCCCGGTTTTTTATTTTTTATTTTATCGATTTTGTGTCACAATTTTTGATTTTTCAATTTTCTGTTCAATTTTAAAATTTATCATTTTGGCAATTTTTCGTTTACTCAGTTTTCAAGTTCTTGATTCTTATTTTTCATTTTCTCGATTTTTCAATTTTCGTTTTTCCGATTTTACGTCAAACTGTTTATTTTTTTCAATGTTTATAATTTTTCGTTTATTTAAATTTTCAAAATTTCAATCTTCAATTTCCCAAATTCCTCGATTTTCCAATTTTAAAATTTTTCGATGTGGCAATTTTTGGATTTCTCAATTGTCCGATTTTTCGATTTTTTTTTATTCTCAATATTTCGATTTTAAAATGTTTTCTTCAATTTTTCAATTTTCCATTTTTCAGTGTTTAGGTTTCAGAAATTTCCGTTTTTTTCAACATTAATTTTTTCAGATTTGGAATTTTTTGATTGACAATTTTTCGATGTTACAATTTTTCATTTAATTTTTCGGTTTTTTAATTTTTCGTTTCCTCACTTTTTCAAGTTCTTGATTTTTATTTTTCATTTTCCCGATTTTTTAATTTTCGTTTTACCGATTTTATGTCAAAATATTTAATTTTTTCAATGTCTCTTTCGCGTTTATATTTTTACGTTTATTCAAATTTTCAAAATTTTAATCTTTGGTTTCCCAGATTCTTCGATTTTCCAATTTTAAAGTTTTTCATTTTGGAAATTTTTAGATTTCTCAGTTATCCGATTTTCCGATTTCTTTAATTCTCAATATTTCGATTTTAAAATGTTTTCTTCAATTTTTCAATTTTTCGATTGGCAATTTTTCGATGCTACAATTTTTCGTTTTCAATTTTTCAGTTTCTCAATTTTTAATTTTTCGGTTTTTCAATTTGTCGTTTCCTCAGTTTTCAAGTTCTTGATTCTTATTTTTCATTTTCAAGATTTTTCAATTTTCGTTTTTCCGATTTTACGTCAAAATGTTTATTTTTTTCAATGTTTATAATTTTCGTTTTCAAAATTTCAATCTTCAATTTCCCAAATTCCTCGATTTTCCAATTTTGAAATTTTTCGATATGGCAATTTTCGGATTTCTCAATTGTCCGATTTTTCGATTTTTTTTTATTCTCAATATTTCGATTTTAAAATGTCTTCTTCAATTTTTCAATTTTCCATTTTTCAGTGTTTAGGTTTCAGAAATTTTCGTTTTTTCAACTTTAATTTTTTTCAGTTTTTCAATTTTTCGATTGGCAATTTTTCGATGTTACAATTTTTCATTCTAGATTTTTTAGTTTCTCAATTTTTAATTTGTCGGTTTTTCAATTTTTCGTTTCCTCAGTTTTTCAAGTTCTTGATTTTAATTTTTCATTTTCCCGATTTTTTAGTTTTCATTTTCCCGATTTTATGTAAACATTTTTAATTTTTTCAGTGTTTCTTTGGTGTTTATAATTTTTCTTTATTCAACTTTTCAAAATTTAAATTTTTGATTTCCTAGATTCCTCGGTTTTCCAATTTTAATATTTTTCAATTTGGCAATTTTTGGATTTCTCAATTATCCGATTTTCCAATTTTTTTTAATTCTCAATATTTCGATTTTAAAATGTTTTCTTCAATATTTCAATTTTCCATTTTTCAATGTTTCGGTTTCATAAATTTTCGTTTTTCCAACTATAATTTTTTCAGTTTTTCAATTTTTTAAATGACAATTTTTCGATGTTACAATTTTTCATTTTCGATTTTTCAGTTTCTCAATTTTTAATTTTTCGGTTTTTCAATTTTCCGTTTCCTCAGTTTTCAAGTTCTTGATTTTCATTTTTCATTTTCTCGATTTTTTAATTTTCGTTTTCCAGATTTTAATGTCAAAATGTGTAATTTTTTCAATGTTTTTTTCGTGTTTATAATTTTTCGTTTATTTAAATTTTCAAAATTTCAATCCTTGATTTCGCAAATTCCTCGAATTTCCAATTTTAATATTTTCAATTTGGCAATTTTTGGATTTCTCAATTATCCGATTTTCCAATTTTTTTAATTCTCAATATTTCGATTTTAAAATGTTTTCTTCAATTTTTCAATTTTCCATTTTTCAATGTTTCGGTTTCATAAATTTTCGCTTTTCAAACTTTAATTTTTCCAGATTTTCAATTTTTTGATTGGCAATTTTTCGATGTTACAATTTTTCATTTTCGATTTTTCAGTTTCTCAATTTTTAAATTTTCGGTTTTTCAATTTTTCGTTTCGCAGTTTTTCAAGTTCTTGATTTTTATTTTTCATTTTATCGATTTTTTAATTTCTGTTTTTCCGATTTATCTCAAAATGTTTAATGTTTTCAATGTTTGTTTCGTGTTTATAATTTTCCGTCTATTCAACTTTTCAAAATTTCTATCTTTGATTTCCCAAATTCCTCAATTTTCCAATTTTAAAAATTTTGGCAATTTTTAGATATCTCAATTTTGAATTTTTCCATTATTCAATTTTTCATTTTCTTCAATTTTTCAATTTTTCCATTTTTCAATGTTTCGGCTCCATAAATTTTCGTTTTTTCAACTTTAATTTTTCCAGTGTTTCAATTTCCCGACTTTCAAATTTTTCAGTTTTTCGTTTCTTCAATTTCTGGATTGGCAATTTTTCGATGTTACAATTTTTCATTTTGCGATTTTTCAGTTTTTCAATTTTTAATTTTTCGATTTTTCAGTTTTTCGTTCCCTCAGTTTTTCAAGTTTCTTGATTTTTATTTATCAGTTTCCCGATTTTATGTCAAAATATTTAATGTTTTCAATGTTTCCTTCGTGTTTATAATTTTTCGTTTATTCAGTTTTTCAAAATTTCAATTTTTGATTTCCCAAATTTTTCGATTTTTCAATTTTAAAATTTTTCAATTTGGCAATTTTTGGATTTTAAAATGTTTTCTCGATTTTGAAGTTTTTCGATTTTTAAGTTTCTCAATTTTGAATCTTTCGATTTTTCAATTTTTCGTTTCTTCAATTTCTCAAATTTCTAATGTGTAGATTTTTCATAGTTTTTATTTTATACTTTTTCCCTTTTTTTCCATTTTTCATTTTTAGAAGTTTGCAATTTTTCCATTCGTAAAGTTAAAAAATCGAAAAATTGAAGCATTAAAAACCTGAAAAAATCGAAAAATTGAAGAATTGAGAAACTAAAAAATCGAAGGGAAGTCGAAAAATCGAAAATTTACAACATCAAAAATTGAAACAAAAATTGGGATCCCAAAACTGAAAAATTGAGAAATCGAAGTCGAAATACCGAAAAATTGAAACATCAAAAACCTGGAAACTTAAAAATTTGATGAACTGAAGAACAGAAAAACTGAAAAATCGAAAAATCGAGAAATCGAGAAATTGAGAAATCCAAAAATCGAAAATGTAAAAAATCAAAATTGAAAAAAAAAAATGTAAGATAGAAAAATGAAAACATTGAAAGATCGAAAATTTGAACAATCGAGAAATCAAAAAATTGAAGAATAAAAACGCCGAAAATTTCCAAAACTGGAGTATCGAAAAATTGAGAAACCGAAAGTTGAAAAATCGAGAAATCTAAAAATCGAAACATTTTGAAAATCGAAAAACCGAAATAACAAGGAAATCGAATAAAAAAATCGTAAAATCGAAAAATTGAAAAATCAATAAATTAAAAAGTCAAAAATTTAAAATTCGAAAAATTGAAAAATATAAATATGGAAGAACTGAAAAATCGAACCTTCGAGAATTTGAGAAATCGAAAAACCTGAAATTGAAGAAATTGAAAAATTAAAATATCGAAAAATTGAAGAATCAAAAATTGAAAAAAGAGAATTTGAAATATCAAAGACCGAAAAATTGAAAAATCAATAAACTAAAAATTCAAAAATGTAAAAATTCGAAAAATTGAAAAATATAAATATGGAAGAACTGAAAAATCGAACAATCGAGGATTCGAGAAATCGAGAAATCGAAAAACCTAAAATTGAAAAAAATTGAAAAATTGAAATATCGAAAAATTGAAAAATCGATAATTCGAAACAACAAAAAATCGAAAAATTGAACACTTCTAAACAAGTCAAAAATTCAAAAATCGAAAAGACGAAGTCGAAAAACTAAAAAAGGAGAAATCGAAAAATCGAAAATTTGAAAACTCGGAAAATTGAAAGGAAAAACTGAAAAATGGAGACACTGAAAAATCGGAACATCGAAAATCGAAAAACCGAGAAATCCGAAAATTGAAAATCTGGAACATCGAAAAATCGAAAAGTCTGGAAGTCGAAAAATCGAAAAATTGAGAAATAGGAAGTGTCCAAAATAAAAAATCGAATAGTAAAAAATTGAAAAATTGACAAATTTAAAAAAAATCAATAAATCGAAAAATTGACAAGTCGAAACATCGAAATTTTGATAAATCCAGACATCGAAAAATTGAAAAAATTCAAAATTTTAAAATTCAAAAAAATTGAAACACCGACAAGTCTAAATCAGAGAAAGCGAAAAATCGGAAGATCGCGAAATCAAAATATCAAAAACTGAAAACTTTGAAATTTAAAAAGTGGAAATGTTGAAAAATAGAACTGTTGAAGAACTGGAAAATCGAGAAATAGAAAAATCTAGAATTTTAAAGATCGAAAAATTAAAATATCGAAAAACTGAAAAATTGAAAAATCTAAAATTTTGAAATTCGAAAAGTAAAAATCGAGAAATCGAAAAATGGGAAAATTGAAACGTTGAAAAATCGAAAAATTAAAGAATCAAAATGTTGAAAAATCCCAAAGCTGAAGTACCGAAAAACTGAAAAATCCCAAATAAATAATATCGAAAAATTAAGAAATCGAAAGTCTGAAAAATTGAAAAATTTGAAAAGTGGAAAAAACTAAAACGAAAATTGCAAAATCGAAAAAGGGGAAAATTGTGAAAAAGCAATCGAGGAACGAAGAATTCAAACACTGGAAATCTAAAAATCGAGAAACTTAAAAACAGAAAAAAATCAATGAATCGAAAAATTGGAAAGAAAAGACTAGACGAATCGAAAAATTGTGAAATTACAGAATCATAAAGTGAAAGAACGAAAAGTTGAAAATTTAAATAAGTATGTATCGAGAAACTGAAAAATTATAAATTGGAAAATTGAAAAATCGAATAAATTATTATCATTAAATGAAAGTTTTAAAATCCAATAATTGAAAAATGGAAAAATTCTACAATTGGAAAATTTTCAATTGAAAAAGTGAATATTTAAAATAGAAATTAGAAAAATTACAATTCAAAAATTGAAGAAACAAAAAATTGAAAAATCGAGAAACTGAAAATTCTAAAATTGAAAAAACGAACAATTAAAAATCTGGAAGTTGAAAAACCGAAAAATTTCAAACTGAAAAATTGAAAAATGCTAAAACTGAAAAATTTTATGTTGAAAAAAAGATAAATTCTGAAAACAGAACATTGAAGAAATGAAAAATTGAAAAGATAAAGAAAATGGAAAAACGAAACGGAAAATTGCAAATCTATAATAATTTAAAGAATAAAGATTGGATAATCTGATAAATGTAAAAGTTTTAAAAACGCAGTAACTGAAAAATGGAAAAATTCTAAAATAGTAAAAAATTATTGCTACATATTTAAAATAAAAACTAGAGAAACTACAAATAAAAAACTGAAGAAACGAAAATTGCGTATGTAAAAATTGAAAAAATAAAAATTGGAACATCCAAAAGTCGAAAAATTGAAGAAATTGTAATTGATAAAACAAAAAAATATAAAATCGGAACACTGAAAAATAGAAAAATAAAAAATTAAAGAAATTAGAAAACCGGAAGGAAAAGTTGCAAATCGAAAAATTAAAAAAATAAAAATTTAAAACTCGAGGAACTCAAATCGAAAAATTTCAAAATTCAAAAATCGAAAATTTCAATGTTGGAAAATCGAAAAACTTGAAAACTCGAAAAATTGCCAATCCACAAATTGAAGAAACAAAAAAAAATGAAAAATTGCTAACATTTTTTTAATTTTTCAAAGAAGTTCTGCCGAAATAACCTACGACCAATTTTGTTGTTTTTGTTTTGGCATTTGTGTTTCTTCTAATTAGGTAATAGTAGTAGTCAGCATCGAGTAGGAGCACTAGATTGGATTACCGTTCTAGAGCGCCACTTTTTCCTCAAGTTTAGCGCTTCAGTTCCACGTTTCTCGATTTTCAGCCTCTCCGTAGGTTTCACTTTACATAAACCCCGTAGGGCCCTTTCCTACGAATGCATCATACACTCGAAGTCGCAACTCCTCCAAAAATAAAACTACACAGCTACAAAACCCGTCGGTCAAACAAATATCTCCGATGATCACTCTCGCCGCTCTACCCCCAACCACCCGTCGAACTTCCGCGCGACTTTCCCTCTTGTTTACTCCCCATCCAACCCTTGACCTTTCGCCCGACTCCGCTGCACGCACCTCTCGCTCATCTCCCGCGTAAATATTTATCCCTCTCTAATTGTGATATATTTTTGTTTGTGTTTGGCAGGGTTGTTTGGCCCCCGTGCAGATCGTCGTCCCGAAGGGCTCCATCCTGGACCCCAGCGACGCCGCGGCGGTGGTCGGCGGCAACGTCCTCACGTCTCAAAGAGTCGTCGACGTTGTTTTGAAGGCCTTCAGGGCGTGCGCCGCTTCGCAAGGATGCATGAATAATATTACATTTGGCAGCGGCTCCTGGGGGTGTTACGAGACGGTCGCAGGAGGCAGCGGCGCGGTGAGCCATATTTTATTTCAACTTTATAATATTCTATTTTGTCTCGGGTAATATCCTGAGACGCGCCATGATATATAAGGCGCTATCGCTACTTCAACAGTGTTATTAACTTTGAGGGATTCCGCTCGTTTTTATTCAAATCGGGATAAGTGCGAAGGGCGGCACTTGACGGAAGTGGGCCGTTTAGGGGTGGTTGACTCGACGACGGGTGGAGTGGGCTGTAGGGGCTGAGTCAGCACAGTCTAACACAAAGTACTCAACAAAAGTCCACTACTTCAAGTATTTACATTTGAAATACTGAAAATACTTCGAGTAAACTATCTAATTATTTGAAATACTGCAGATTAATATAACTTTTCTGAAAAATTGCATTAAAAAGATGTTTTTTGCAGTTTCGAAAAGACAGGCCCGATCTTTCTTTCAAAGAAGTAACTATGAGGGTCTCGAACATATTTTCTGTAATGTCAAAATACGCTGTAAAATATTTTTTGATTTTTTTTTCTCATAGGCGGGAACATCAACTGTGGCGAAAATTTTATCAACTGGGGACCAAAATTTAAAAATATCACTATTTGGCAAGCGAAAACCAAGGGATTTATTTACAAATTATATGTTTCGAACCTTCGATTTCTCGATGTCTCAGTTTTTTAATTTTTCGATATTTCGATTTTTCGAGTTGTCGGTTTTTCGATTTTTACTTTTCGATTTTTGCATTATTGGTTTTTTCAACCATTTTTCCAATTTTTTTTAATTTTCGAGTTGCGATTTCTCGATTTGTTGATTTTTCAGTTTTTCAATTTTTAAATTTTAGATTTTTCAATTTATATTTTTTTGGTTTTTTGATGTTTAGTTAGATTTTTCGATTTTCAGTTCTTCAGTATTTTAAAATTTTTCAAATTTTGACGTTTCATAATTTTCAGATTTCCGATTTCTCAATTAATATACTTTTTGGTTTTTCCATTTCTCGACTTCCCAAAGTTTCGAAAAATCGAAAAATTGAACTGAAGAAATGAAAGTCTTGAGTTCAATTTTTCGATTTTTCAGGTTTCTGCTTTTTCGATTTTTTAAATTTGCGATTTTTCGAATTTGCTTTTTGGTTTCTCAATTTTTCAATTCTTTAACTTCCTAATTTTAGAATATTTTGTCCAATTTTGTGATTTTTCAGTTTTTCTACTCTTTTTTATTATTTCGATTTTTCGATTTTTCTAATTCTGGATATTTCGATTTCTCGACTTTTTACTGTTTGGATTTTTAACTTTTCGTTTTTTAAACTTTAGATTTTTCAATTCTTCGACTGTTTTATACGTCGATTTCTCAATTTTTCAAATTTTCGATTTTTTAACTTTTCAGTTTTTAAAATTTTAGGGTTTTCGATTTCTCGAGTTTCAGTTCTTCTATATCTCAATTTTTCAATTTTCGGAATTTTTAAATTTTCGATTTTCTATTTTTTTATTTTTCTATTTTCCAATTTTTCGATCTTTCGATTTTTCATTTATCCAATTATTCTATTCAATTTCTCGGTTTTGATTTTTCTTTTTTATATCCTCATGTTCAAACTTCAAGAAGACAATTTTTCGATATTTGAATTTTTCAAGTTTAAATTTTGTTTAATTTTTCGATTTTTCGACTTCTCCACTTTTCGAACCTTCGATTTCTCGATGTCTCAGTTTTTTAATTATCCGATGTTTCGATTTTTCGATTTGTCGGTTTTTCGATTTTTACTTTTCGATTTTTGCATTATTGGTTTTTTCAACCATTTTTCCAATTTTTTTTAATTTCCGAGTTGCGATTTCTCGATTTGTTGATTTTTCAGTTTTTCAATTTTTAAATTTTAGATTTTTCAATTTATATTTTTTTGGTTTTTTGATGTTTAGTTAGATTTTTCGATTTTCAGTTCTTCAGTATTTTAAAATTTTTCAAATTTTGACGTTTCATAATTTTCAGATTTCCGATTTCTCAATTAATATACTTTTTGATTTTTCCATTTCTCGACTCCCCAAAGTTTCGAAAAATCGAAAAATTGAACTGAAGAACTGAAAGTCTTGAGTTCAATTTTTCGATTTTTCAGGTTTCTGCTTTTTCGATTTTTTAAATTTGCGATTTTTCGAATTTGCTTTTTGACTTTTTGGTTTCCCAATTTTTCAATTCTTTAACTTCCTAATTTTAGAATATTTTGTTCAATTTTGTGATTTTCCAGTTTTTCTACTCTTTTTTAGTATTTCGATTTTTCGATTTTTCTAATTCTGGATATTTCGATTTCTCGACTTTTCACTGTTTGGATTTTTAACTTTTCGTTTTTTAAACTTTAGATTTTTCAATTCTTCGACTGTTTTATACGTCGATTTCTCAATTTTTCAACTTTTCGATTTTTTAACTTTTCAGTTTTTAAAATTTTAGGTTTTTCAATTTCTCGAGTTTCAGTTCTTCTATATCTCAATTTTTCAATTTTCGGAATTTTTAAATTTTCGATTTTCTATTTTTTTTTAATTTTTCTATTTTCCAATTTTTCGATGTTTCGATTTTTCATTTATGCAATTATTCAATTTCTCGGTTTTAATTTTTCTTTTTTATATCCTCATGTTCTAACTTCAAGAAGACAATTTTTCGATATTTGAATTTTTCAAGTTTAAATTTTGTTTAATTTTTCGATTTTTCGACTTCTCCACTTTTCGAACCTTCGATTTCTCGATGTCTCAGTTTTTTAATTTTTCGATGTTTCGAATTTTCGATTTGTCGGTTTTTCGATTTTTACTTTTCGATTTTTGCATTATTGGTTTTTTCAACCATTTTTCCAATTTTTTTTTTAATTTTCGAGTTGCGAGTTCTCGATTTGTTGATTTTTCAGTTTTTCAATTTTTAAATTTTAGATTTTTCAATTTATATTTTTTGGTTTTTTGATGTTTAGTTAGATTTTTCGATTTTTCGATTTTCAGTTCTTCAGTATTTTAAAATTTTTCAAATTTTGACGTTTCATAATTTTCAGATTTCCGATTTCTCAATTAATATACTTTTTGATTTTGCCATTTCTCGACTTCCCAAAGTTTCGAAAAATCGAAAAATTGAACTGAAGAACTGAAAGTCTTGAGTTCAATTTTTCGATTTTTCAGGTTTCTGCTTTTTCGATTTTTTAAATTTGCGATTTTTCGAATTTGCTTTTTGACTTTTTGGTTTCTCAATTTTTCAATTCTTTAACTTCCTAATTTTAGAATATTTTGTTCAATTTTGTGATTTTCCAGTTTTTCTACTCTTTTTTAGTTTTTCGATTTTTCGATTTTTCTAATTCTGGATATTTAGATTTCTCGACATTTCACTGTTTGTATTTTTAACTTTTCGTTTTTTAAACTTTAGATTTTTCAATTCTTCGACTGTTTTATACGTCGATTTCTCAATTTTTCAACTTTTCGATTTTTTAACTTTTCAGTTTTTAAAATTTTAGGTTTTTCGATTTCTCGAGTTTCAGTTCTTCTATATCTCAATTTTTCAATTTTTGGAATTTTTAAATTTTCGATTTTCCATTTTTTTTAATTTTTCTATTTTCCAATTTTTCGATGTTTCGATTTTTCATTTAGCCAATTATTCAATTTCTCGGTTTTAATTTTTCTTTTTTATATCCTCATGTTCAAACTTCAAGAAGACAATTTTTCGATATTTGAATTTTTCAAGTTTAAATTTTGTTTAATTTTTCGATTTTTCGACTTTTCCACTTTTCGAACCTTCGATTTCTCGATGTCTCAGTTTTTTAATTTTTCCATGTTTCGATTTTTCGATTTGTCGGTTTTTCGATTTTTACTTTTCGATTTTTGCATTATTGGTTTTTTCAACCATTTTTCCAATTTTTTTTAATTTTCGAGTTGCGATTTCTCGATTTGTTGATTTTTCAGTTTTTCAATTTTTAAATTTTAGATTTTTCAATTTATATTTTTTTGGTTTTTTGATGTTTAGTTAGATTTTTCGACTTTCAGTTCTTCAGTATTTTAAAATTTTTCAAATTTTGACGTTTCATAATTTTCAGATTTCCGATTTCTCAATTAATATACTTTTTGATTTTTCCATTTCTCGACTCCCCAAAGTTTCGAAAAATCGAAAAATTGAACTGAAGAACTGAAAGTCTTGAGTTCAATTTTTCCATTTTTCAGGTTTCTGCTTTTTCGATTTTTTAAATTTGCGATTTTTCGAATTTGCTTTTTGACTTTTTGGTTTCTCAATTTTTCAATTCTTTAACTTGCTAATTTTAGAATATTTTGTTCAATTCTGTGATTTTCCAGTTTTTCTACTCTTTTTTAGTATTTCGATTTTTCGATTTTTCTAATTCTGGATATTTCGATTTCTCGACTTTTTACTGTTTGGATTTTTAACTTTTCGTTTTTTAAACTTTAGATTTTTCAATTCTTCGATTGTTTTATACGTCGATTTCTCAATTTTTCAACTTTTCGATTTTTTAACTTTTCAGTTTTTAAAATTTTAGGTTTTTCGATTTTTCGAGTTTCAGTTTTTCTATATCTCAATTTTTCAATTTTCGGAATTTTTAAATTTTCGATTTTCCATTTTTTTTAATTTTTCTATTTTCCAATTATTCGATGTTTCGATTTTTCATTTATCCAATTATTCAATTTCTCGGTTTTAATTTTTCTTTTTTATATGCTCATGTTCAAACTTCAAGAAGACAATTTTTCGATATTTGAATTTTTCAAGTTTAAATTTTGTTTAATTTTTCGATTTTTCGACTTCTCCACTTTTCGAACCTCCGAGTTCTCAATGTCTCAGTTTTTTTTTTCGATGTTTCGAAATTTCGATTTGTCGGTTTTTCGATTTTTACTTTTCGATTTTTGCATTATTGGTTTTTTCAACCATTTTTCCAATTTTTTTAAATTTTCGAGTTGCGATTTCTCGATTTGTTGATTTTTCAGTTTTTCAATTTTTAAATTTTAGATTTTTCAATTTATATTTTTTTGGTTTTTTGATGTTTAGTTAGATTTTTCGATTTTTCGATTTTTCAGTTC